CCTCGTTTCCGCAACCCGTCCACGTTCCTCTTAACTTTACAATTCCATGAATTAATTTTTTCCCTTATGTGTGAGTTGCGAGAAATTTCTTTTCAATTTTTTTTTTTTTTTTTTTTTTTTTTGTATCATCCAATTTTTTTTTGGTATCGTAATGTGTGCTGCCCATTTGTCATGGTTATCCACCGTTCTTGTTTGTTTGTTTGTTTGTTTGTTTGTTTGTTTGTTTGTTTGATCGTTCGTTTGTTTATTTGTGTATTATTATTAATTTTTTTTTTTTTTTTTGTTATGTTCCTCACTTGCGTTTGCTTTTGCGCGTTTGTCCATTCATGTTCGTCTTCATTTGTACCCTTTCACCCTTGCGCTTGTTTTCGTCTTTGCATTTCTGCGTCCCCCCATTCCTTGGTGTTACCGAGAAATGGCACGTCTTGGGGCGGAGAAGAAAAGGGAATGTAAAAAAAAAGGGAACAAAAATTAAATAACAATAAAGAATAGAACAAAAAAAAAAAAAAAAAACAATTTTCCATTTTTCTTTTTCATTCCAATTCGTCTGGCGTGCAAAACGTTGGACATATTTGTCTTTTTCTTTCTGCTCGTCCCCTCTGGATGTGCTCCATTTTGTTTGCTTAGAAAAATTCGCGCTGTTTTGTTTTGTTTTTGGCGCATCGTAAGTTTGTCCAGTCTGTCTTTCCGTTTGTTTGATTATTTTGTTTGTTTTGTTTTGTTTTGTTTGTTTATTTATTTATTTATTTATTTTTTATTTTTTTTGTTTTGTTTATTTGTTTGTTCGTCTGCCCATTTGTGGGCGCCTTTCTCTGTTTCCGCATTTGTTTGTATTTTCCCTTTTTTGTCCCGTTGCCACATTGTTGTGCGGAAGAGGCAGACGCGCATTGCCTACCTTCATTCACGTGGGAAGTGCGTCAATCTGCCACTCCGTCCCTGGGGACCTGCGGCCAGTTTGCAATTCATGCGTACCCGCCATTTGGTTCAATTTAATTTTTTTTATTTTAACATGCACTTAATCGAAGTTGTGTAGTAGTTTATCACCCGCTTTGTCTATTACTGTGCCTGTTTTTTTTTTTTTTTTTTTTTTTTTTTTTTTTTTTTTTTTTTTTTTGTGCGGTTCGTTTGAGGCGTGCCCTTTCTCTCACGACTCAGTGCTCCGATCGGCTGCGTAGATCCGTGGGTGCATACCTGGGCGTGAATATATTTTGTACCAGTCAACAGAGGAACATTCTTAAATTGTTTCGAAGCATTTGTGTCTCTGCGCTGGTGCGCGGATAATGTTCCGTCCGGCGTAGCCAACATGTGCCCGTGTTTGTTCTTCCAGTTTGTTTTTTTGAGTTTGTTTATTTGAGTTTGTTTATTTGAGTTTGTTCATTTGAGTTTGTTCATTTGAGTTTGTTTATTTGAGTTTGTTTATTTGAGTTTGTACCTTACCGTTCCCATTGCATCGTGGGCAATTTTCCGCACCCCGCGCAAGCTCCCATGTGGGTAGATGTACTCTCCATTGTAAAAGTGTTCGCGACTGTGTAGATTCGCTCTGCATTTACCAACGTGCTTATACCCATTGGGAGAAAAGTTGACGCAGCATTTTTGTTTGCCTCCTTTGTGATTAATAAGTGGTCACAAGAGGAGGGGTTTTCCATTCGTCGTGTAAAATTTTGTAACAGTTTTTTTTCTGAATTTTTTTTTGAATTTTTTTTTTTTTTACAAGTTTGTAGCTTAATGGAAGGAGCCCTGCGTTTCAGTCTGTTCTCCAAAGTTCGCTTCATTTGTCTAGTATACATAGTTTGGCTCCCTTAAGCGATTGCGAGATCTTCATTCGTCGCTCTCATCGCGAATAAGGCGCACATCGCACATGTTGAATCTGTTTCGTTCCGTCTACAACTTTTTTTTTTCTTTCTTTTTTTTTTTTTTTTCCCCGTGTGTGCATTTGTACATCTTCCTAATTGCACCTGTCTAAAGAACATTTCTTTTTTGAGAGTCATGTGCGTGACTACTCTCCATTTGGTTAGGCCAATTCGACAGTGAAGATTATACCAATCACATTTTTGTGAGCAGTAGGGCGCCTTCCACATCGGTTCCACTGCATTATTTGGGGTGAGGGATACCTCGGCTGGGTTGACATAGATTGGAGCATCTCCCTGTTTTGTGCCCCCAATGCAGCGTAAACACAGCACAGTTCTTTTGCCCAACCTATTCCCCTTCTTTTGGGGGGTAAAGTACACATACTAGATTTATTCGTATGAGGGACAACCCTTAGCAAGGTTGAGACAATTTAGGAGCCATTCTTTTGTGCCTCTTCCACAAGGAATACATGATCAAGGGCCAAAGTGTTTTTCCTACCGAGTTGGCATACATTCAGGTGAAGAGCTAACATAGGCGTTTGTTGTCCATGTGTGGTTCACACTAACGAGTTGCATCAACGGAGCGCACGTACGGTGTCACCCCCCCTTCCTGAGCAGAGTTTCCCCCTGCGTGAATAATATAAAATTTGTGTGTAACAAGCAAGAAGGTTCTCCCCCCAAATATTTTTAAGACAGCGTAAGGGGTAAATGGAAAGTGTCTCCCTGGAGTCAGACACTGTGGAGGCAATCCATGGGGCCGTACCTGACGAAGCCGGCTATGTGAATAGCAATGTGAACAGCAATATGAACAGTAATATGAACAGCAATGTGAACAGCAATGTGAACAGCGATGTAAGTGGTGATGACCGCGCGCGCGAGCCTGGCATCAAGGCGGAGGCCCCAGAGGAGGAAACCCCCCCAGCACAGGAGATGACCCACAAGGGCGAAGCAGACAGGTGCCATGAAGTAAAGATAAAAAGCGAGCCAGTCATCCTCATGGACAAGGTGGAACGCTGTCTAGTGGTTGAGTGGTACGAAAATGACATAAGAAGGGAGCAAAGGATCTCATATAAAAAATATGGTAATGATAAGGCAAAATTAAGAGCAAAGGAATTGATTGAAAAATTAAAAGCAGGTATAACATTCGAGCAGCTATACCCAGACAAAGGACCACCTATCGTTCGAGTGTACAGTGATGTGGGGGTATATCGCGTGTCTTTAATAAGGGACAGAATTGAGCGAGAATGGAGAGTTGAATGGATGGACAATGATAATCCAATGAATGCCAGATGGTCATGCAAAAAGGTAGGTAATGATGAGGCACAGAAGAGGGCAGAAACATTCGCGCAAAGTTTAATTGAAGGAATTTTTAATCCCATTTTGTTACACAAAGCTACGGGCACGAGATTCTCAAGGTCAGACAAAACAGTTGTTAAGATTAATGTGTACATGAAGAAAAATGTTAAGAGGAAAACTAAGTGTAAGATACAGAGAGGGGGGGTAGATAAATCTTCTTTAATGATGGGGAAGGGAATGAAGGATGGACTAAGGAAAAGAAAACTGAAGCATACTAATGATACTGTTCATGGGTCACTTATAGAAGGATCAGATATGGTTAATGGGAGCCGGACCTACAATGGAAGTGCACTCAGCAATCTCTTTGTTAAAAATGAGGGTACCACAATGGATGGTAGGACAGATTCTAATTATATGGGCAGAATCAAAGAGGAAAATTCGAATGTGGTTTTGCCTGAGGGGAATTACCTCTGGAATGAGTATCATATCGGTGTGAGTTCTAAGCGAGGGAGAGGAATGACCGAGAAGAAAAGGCATTACAAGCCTAGGGGAACTGGAAGGAAAAGGGACAGGATAAAGAAGACACCAAAGGAGGGTACGAAATTGAGGGGGAAAATGGAGAATCCGGTAAAGGACACCATGAGGGGTGTAATGGGTGAGTCTGTGGAGAACAGATTGGCAGATCAATACATAGCTGCTCAAACGCATGGCCCAGTCGACCTAAACCTATTCAGTTCCAATACAGAATTGGGAAATGTAGACCCGCCTCCTTTCTCATGCAGCAATAATTATATGAAGAAAGAGCAAGAGATGTGGGACCCCTTATCCATGCCATACAGCGACCATGGGGAAGGGGTTATGTTGAACTGTAATAACAATGAGACCCTGGAACGGGGTGCCATGACGAGCAATTACTTTACCCCCTGTGAGCAATACGAAGGTTACCGAATGGGTAGTTTTATGGTGAAGGGGGAGGACTATTCCTCTAGGTATGCTTATGGAACGAAGAGTGATGACTACGCGGTTTATGCAAACCACGGTGTGGGACCTGCGGCTATGTGTTATGGTGATATGCACCATGATAACCTGCACACGTTTCATTACGGGGGTGAGGATCCCTTCGTGAGTAGTCACACCAATAGGAGTGATGAGTATGTTCTGGGGGGAAGCGGTCTGTCCGCAGGCCACTGCGCCAGCAGCGCTGTGTTCAGAGGAGGGGGGTATAACCCTTACCTGGTGAGTTACAGTGGAGGGCCAATGGCACCCCACATGGCAGTTATGCGGAGGGGGCTAGACATGGAGGCTATGCATAGCAGGGCAGACATTGAGCCTATGCAGAGGGACGAGACAAACGATGATGTACTGCGCGACATGGTGAGAGATCACCATGGGGCTAGCCTTATCCCCCAGAAAAGCCAAATAAAAAGTAGAAAAACTATGAGGCAGCGCATTTGTCATTTGAAGAAAATAAAGTGCGACGCCAATGGAAATGAGGTGCAGGGGAAAGACCGACGCAAGGGAGGCGAGAGGAACAAGGAGACCAAGTGGTTGAGCTTAGGGGGGAACGACTTTGCCCCTGTTAACGGTGGTGAACATGGAGTAGGCGATCCCCTCCCATCTTCGTACAATGGAGAACGAAGAAAACGAAAACGAATAACAAACAGGAACTTCAAAGAGGAGGACTTCCTACTCGATGAGGAATTGAGTAAATATTTTTCTACATGCCAGAAGATTTATTCAAGGAAAAACCAAAGGGGCTTGAGGAATGAGTCGAATGGAGTTATGGACCACGTTGTGGGTGATTCCATGGGAATGTGCAGGGGAAGGCGTTATAATAATATTGGCGGCGGCGTGTGTGAGGAGAAGGGAACCATCGTGCATGGCGGTGGTGCGCAATTGAGAGCCGTTAATCAGCACGGCTTTGAGGCAGGACAAGAAGGAACCTATGGACATAGCTACGTGGTACCCACCATGAAAAGGGGAACCAGTGTTGATATTAACCAAAATGATAATGTACTAATAAACGCCAGCCTGATCCCCAATGGAAATGCAGGGGAGAACCTCCTGACGGAACAACTTCCTACCAGATCTCGGAGACGAACGAAGAATTGCAAATTTAGTCGAGCTAGCCAAAAAAAGGATTCAGCTTTTGATGATGATAAAAATGCTATGAGGGAGTCTTACAGGATGTACAAGGGACATGGGAAGAGATACAACTCTACATATGGTAGGTTTAGATCGCATTCAATGGACAGCCTGGGGGGTACAATGGTTAGCGTCTCTGGTCTTGCCTCCCAATCGAGAAACAACAATGAGGGCTGCGGTGGTTACGTGCTGAATGGCAATGTGGGTCGGGATGCATTTGCACGTGGGTTTCAACCAAGCGGTTTGCATTACGGAGGGGAGCCCCACACAGGGCAGGAAGGACACGTGATGGCGAACTCAGATGAGAATGTTGGAGGAGGTGGCGGAGGTGACATGGCAGACGGGAAGACTCACCTAATGAACCTAAGAAGGGCGAGAAGGAGAATCAGCACCCCAGGGAGTAATTATGGTCCCAGTGAGATGCAACGTAAGAATGAAAATTTAAATAGCTCCCTCGCGGGGAACAACATAATCGAGTTTGTTGATAATCCACGAGGGTACAGAGTGCCATATGAATATCAGTCCCGAGTATTTTATGAGCACTTCGAGGTACCGCTAAATGCACAAAAAGAATTTGAATTGCAGCAAAGGTATTTTGCCCGTTTGTTCTCTTTGCACATTTTAGCCGTTGGATGGAACGCTAACAAAAATGCTCGCGTGGAAGACTACATGCAAGAATTGTCTGACCCTGCTTTTCGATCCCTCACGATGGGTGGTGCGAACAGCTGTGGGGATTTCCCAAGTCATGATGGGTCTCCTGCTAGTGAGAAGAACAGAGTGAGTGGCGCGCAGGAAGGAAGGTCGGGTGGTCTCAATCGCGGAGAATTACAAACTGAGGTATTCCTTAAGTCTAACCAGTTGATACATGACAGGAGGGGTACAGACTATTGCTCCTTCAACTCCGTGGAGGATGGTACTTTGCGGGTTAATGAGGATGGATCCGTGCTCAACGTTGGTGTGGACGACGCGAACCATTTGGGATCACCACGTGGGGAGCAAGAGGTGGGTGACATGAGCAAGTATGAGTATGCGCATCTTATGAGTGGTGTAAATGATGGGCGCTGTTTTGGCGGCATGCTGAACGAGAATGCTCATGGAGACATGCATGGCTATGGGTACGCAGAGGGTGTCAGCAACATGGCCGGGCCATATGACACATATATGATGAGCAATGTAAACGCTTTAACGGGAGTAGATTACCGATTGAATAATTACCAGGGTTGTAATAACTTTGGGTCTATGAATGGGAGAAACGGCACGGAATTCTTGAACGGAGTGTGCATGAGCACAGGAGGAGGAATGAACGACGTAAGCAGGGCCGCCAATGCGGAAGATCTGATACTTCCGAATGAGAATTATGCTAGGGGGGTGCACCCAATGCATCTGCATGGAAAACATATTGTTAACCCAAATATGCACAGCAATGTTAGTATGGCTTATGACCAGGAGGGGAAGTACTTACAGGTTAACAGATCTTATGATCCTAATGTGAAGGGAAATATGGAATACGTGCAGCATTACATGTACAACGTGCATCCTTTGAGCATTAACAACGTAGATGATGGTTCGTATGAACTGTCGTTAAGTAGGGGAAGCACTTTGCCATTCCACAAGGATGTGACCGTGGTGAGTAGAGCGCCATGGGAAGGGAGAGAAGAGAATGAAGGCGCATTCGGTGCAGTGAGAACTGAAACAGTTAATCATTACAAGAGTTTTGTTGATGGAAGGAGTAATGTCCCCATGGTGACTACCGAAGGGGAAGAAGACACCTACCCCAATCTACAAAGTACCATAGGAAAAACCAGCGAGTTAGATTCGTTAGGAGCATGTGGCAGGGAAGACAACCCTTATGGTGTAGGAAGCGTTGAGTATGATGAACTGCAAATTGGACCAAGGACAGATATTGCCATCAGAGGGCAGTGCTCATTTGGAGATACTTCATATGTGGAAAGTGCCGACTCATGTGAGCGAAACAGAGAAACGTATGAAATGGTTAGAGAGGTGCAGTATGGAGAAGGAAAGCAAGGAGGACACGTGTCCTTGAGGCAAGTGCCCACCAATGAATATGATCTCATGACGATTGGAGACAGGGAGGCACATGGGCAAAGAATAGGCTACATGAATTTGCCATATGAAAGAGGAGATGATGATGAGGAGCTCCATGACGACAAGTTAGACTCGGAGATGATGAAAGAAAATGTAGAGGTTGCGGGAAAAGGAGAGTACCTTTACTATAATGTATACGCCAATGCAGAGAATGGAATGGGGATGCCAGAGAGAGGCATGCACAACTGTGCTGAAGAGGTGAATTACAATATGGTTGATAAATCAAATGACGACTGTAGTAGTGGTAGTGCACATGGCAATGGCGAGTACTCCATGCACGACAAGCCGCACTACGAATTTGGACACATGGTTCAGGTACTACCAGGTTATGAACACCTGGAACGGGAAGGGCACTGCCAGGATAATGTTGTGGACAGGCAGGCACAGTCACAGTATGAAAAGGCGCATTATGTGTTCGGCGTGTGCAGTGGGGGGAATCATCCGTCCAGTGGAGATGTGGTTCCGGGGCAGCAGCACTCGGATGACCTCAGCGCGAACGGAAGCAATAATGGGAGCAATAATGGAAGCAATAACGGAAGCCAGAACAGCAGTAGCAAGGGCAATCCTAATACAACTCCAAACAGTTACGACGACGTGGCATACAGCAGCTATTTTAAGGAGGCCAACATGACCTCGGCATCCAGTTCCACGATCATGACTAACATGAAGGATATGAACAACTATGAATACTGCAATAACAGGAAAATGATCGGCAAGCTGAGGTTCACTTCAAATACCAGTACCATAAACACGGAGTGCCTCCCGAGTAACCTTTTAAATTCTATAAGCATGAACAACTCGTGTCTTTCCAATAATGTGAATGAACAGGTGCAGAAATAGCTGCTGCATATTGGCACAGACGTTAACGGAAGTATTGGACGGGGAGGGGAAAAAAAAAAAAAAAGGTGACCATTAAATGGCTACCTTGGTAAGACAAACAGATCGGAGTTTATGTCGACTGAATAATGTGCGGAACGTTTAGCACAACTGATGGAGGAGGCAGGTCACGCACATATGGGTTTATTTGAAGCTGCTTTACATTTTTCCACTTGGAAGGTGGAACTAAGCTTTAACTGGTGCAGTGTGTAATGTGGGTACCAATTTTTTTTCCACCTTAGCTTAAATAGCTTTTATTCGCTGTGTTAATTTTTTTTTTTTTTTTTTTTTACGTGTTTGCAACTCCTACACTCATTTGGCGCGATGCGTTTAATATTTTCGGAAAATTTATTCTTAAAAAAAAAGTTGTAGCCTGGTGAAGTGGGAACAGCGGTTCATCAGGTAACCTTCTCTGTAGAGAAGCATACCCCATGGGTGCCAAGCTCTTTTATACTAGAGCAGTACAACTGTGTGATGGTTCACCGTTCGGGGCAGTTAAAAAAGGAAAAATATGCAGCTTGCAATGCGTATATATGTGTATTTTTTTTTTTTTTAAACGCTTCGCGCAGGAGCCCATCCTCCATGTCGACACTTGATAACGGAGATGGAGAGAGAGCGGTAACCTGCTGCAAACGTACACAGGAGGTGTAGCATGTGCAGAATCAGGCGATGCAGATACCTGCACTCACGTGTAGGTATGCATTTCATCTAGGCCCACAATGTAGAAAATTAAAGATTGACCAAGATAAAAAAAAAAATAACGCAAACGTGTACAGTCCTATATGCGTAATGACTCGTTGCCTTTGTGATTCCCCCCTCGTTATTTACATTTTGGTGGGGCCTCATTTATCCTACTTTATTTGTTTTTTGTTTTCCCTTTCCTTCCCCCATTTCATGATGAACTTACGCAGTAGTTCTGGGAGGAAAAAAATTGGCTACCTTCAGTGACGCTGTTTAAACGAAGCTGAAAAAAAAAAAAAAAAATACAAACAAAAATAAAAACGTTCGAGGCAGGAGTATAGTGTGTATTGTGTACATATGCGAATATGTTTAGGCCTCGTCAGCTCGCTTGACTAAGCTGCGGTACATGTAAATTACTGCTCTACAGGTGGGATGCGAATCTGGAAGGTATGCTAGCCTTTTCTGCGTGTGTAAATAAAACGATACGAAAGGCCTTCCGCGTGCCCATGCAGGTGAGTACACGTTAAAGGCGGAAAGCTAACTTACCCGTACATTATGTGAGTTTTGTAATGAGCACACAGTTCGGTTGTGCTACATTGTTGGCCCTGCTAGGGGGTAGATATTTTGCACTCTCAACTGTGAAACGAATCACACCGAGGGGTGTGGAAGGAGAAATAGAGGGAAGACGAGCACAGAGCGCGAAGAGTTCGAAGCTTAAGTTGTGGGCCACGAAGCCTTAAGTTGTTCGTAGGGATGTTTCATTTAACCAACATTGAAGGGATGATACCAACTAGGCGCAGCTGCAAAGTAAGAGGAACACCGCCAGGAAGGTGTAAAATCCAAACGCACACAACCTGTGCACAACGTGAAAAAAAAAAAAAAAAATTATTGACTAGCCAAAAAAGGGGAAAAAAAGTACCTGACAGGTTCATAAAAAGTGCAAAAAAAAAAAAAAAAAAAAAAAAAAATTACAAATAACAAATCAAAAGTCACCAATACGAGGAGGCGTGACAAAGCGGCTTAGCAACCTAGGCAGGTGGGCCAATATATTTGAATCTCTCTGAAGGTGCCCAGGAAAGAAAACCACTAAGAAGCACCATAGGAGAAATGATGAGCAGCTTTGTGATTAAAAGGGCGTACACGAGTGAACGTGAGTGTAAAAAAATACATAAATATATGAGTATAGGAATTGACCGTAAATCCAGGCTTCCCATCAGTACGTGTGCAAGGAAATTTGGCAATAGCGAGCTGGTCAGGATCAGTCAGAAATTGTTCCTACATAACAATACACGACGGAGAAGATCTTCTAGAAGAAACTTCGCCAGGGTGATATGTTATAATTTTAAAAGAGGAGGTGCCACGGACGTGTGCAGCGCGCAGGATAGTGAGGCACGCGCGTGGCGTAGAGTAATTAAGGGGAGTAAATTGGACAACGGAGAAGAGGCGAAGCAGGTGGGAAACGCCCCAATTGTAAACACACACGTGAGATCAGGGATAATTGGAGAAGAGGGAACCCGCAGCACAACACCCCCAAATGTACTGAACCATAAAAACATTTTAAGTAACTGGAGTAAGTGGGGCAGTACAGGGATTTGGTCATCTAGTAAAATGAAAAAAATAAAATTTCGGAGCTTCACGCAAATCGTTGCCGTATCGATAAAAAAAGACAAGTACGTGAAATTTTCTCGATTAAATCTGAGCGAATTGCTAACTTGTATACATGGAAATTTGTCAGAGGAGAGCGACGTAAAAACGTGGAACAGCATATTTTTGCAGGTAGACAAATTGGTGTCCAAAAAAGGCGGGGGAGACGAGTATAAAGCAGAATTGAACGCCTTTTTCGATAAGCTCACGAATATGGAGTACTACGCTGTGCTTCATCATCTGAAGGATGTGGACGAAAGCGTGAAAAATAATATTTTAAATGGCGCCTTTTTTGAGTGCCTCGTGTTGTCCCTCAGGGGGAGGGACATAACGTATTTGCACGAGCGGGTGCGGCGGTCAGGTGTGTTAGAAGTAGGAAGAGGAGAAGAAGGAAAAGAAGTACAGCTGGAAGACTCACCACAGATGAGAAGCGGCAGCCCGGGGGAGATCAGACATGACGACCCCGCGCAGATCGGGAAGAAGCGCGGAAGTAAGGTAAAATCTTACATGAAAAACTTGAAGCATATTTTAAACATCTCAGGCAGTAGGATGAGCCCTAAGGGGGGGCCCAGCGCGCTTGAGGAGCAGCAGTGGCAGTTAGAGGGTGAAGAAAAAAGACTGGATCATTTGGGTGACCAGGAGGAGGCATCATGTGCGAATGATGAGACCAATGGCAGAGGAAACACACAGAAGGACGTAACGATGATCAGGAGGTGGTTTACTCTGTTGACTTACTTTTCCTGCAAATCTGAGCACGTCTCCATGTTAAGAGATTATTTGAATAGAATGTTTAGAAAGCACATTGACGAGCTGATTAGAAAGGAGTACTTTTCCAAAACAGTACACCAGATGACGAATCACATAAACAGTAAAAGTGTACACGCCCTTATAATGACTTACGAAAAAAAGCTCGACAAAATGGAGGCATATGATTTTAGCTACAGCTTGTTTATTCTCCATCGGTTTTTGGTGTTCAATCACAGCCTGTTTAACAGAATTATTGATCATGCCATTTGGAATCCTGTGATGAAATTAAAAAGTGAGAAAAACTTAATCCGTTTTATAAAGAGTGTAGATAATTACTTGCTCATGTATCCGTCCAGCCCAGGGTTGAGTGGTGGTGGGTTGAGCGGCGGTGGGTTAAACTGCCCATCGTTTAACAGCACAGACGTTTTTCAGTCCAACATGAATGACATGTATAATTCTACCTTTTCCATTTTTATTAAAAAGTTGAATAAGAATTTGAAGTGCTACTCGCTAGAGAACTTACTCTTCTTGTCCGAGTGCTTGGGCAAGGTGATTTTTATGCCGAGCATGCAGAACCAGATTCTGCATGTCTTCATTAATAAGCTTCGCTACTACATCGATAATGCTTTAGATTTGTCCACTGTGAATAATGAAACACTTATTCGCCTTTTTAAGATAAGCTCCTTCTTTTCCTTCGTCCCCGAGATGGAGGTTTTTGTGAGCACCGCGACTAGGGGGAATAGGAGGACACGGAGTTTTGTCAGTGGGGACATGTATGTCCCGTCGAAGGGCACCATGGTGGGAGGTGCCGAAGACGTGGTCTCCCCATCGGGAGAAGCGGAAACGAGCCCCGTGAAGGATGGCTCGTCTCCGACGGGGAATAAAAAAATACTCAAGAGTAAAAATGACGACACGTTGGAGGAGAAGAGTAAAAAAAAAAGCATATGCTTCAACCTGAGTGAGAAGAAAGTGATTAATTATTACTATGACAAATCGGAGGAGTCGAACACCTTTGTGCATCCAAGGAATCTGCTAAAGAGGTACGACCTCCTCCAGGTGAAGGACGATGTCTACGACGTGAACAGCTACTGCCTCAATTACGGCCTCAATCACGACTCGGGGAAGAAGCATAAGAAGAACAAATTTTTGCTCAAGAATATTGTGATGCGTTTGTGCGAGCAAATTGATAAGAGTTTGGACGACGTGGCGAGGGAACTGGGGGGGGGATTTCCTGAGGGCAGCGAAGCGACCGTCAAAGAGAGCGGCCCCCCCTGGAGTAGAGACAAACTGATGGATGAAATAAAATATATCAACGAGAAGAACGCCTATCGTGACGGCAAATGCCCGGAGAATGACCCCGCCCACAAGAACAGCGAGGTGTACAAGAGGTACCTCATTTTTTACGATTTCAGCGTGTTAAGTGATGTAGTCAAGTTCACTCACTTGTCCATCAACACGAATAAGCACACGTACGAATTAGTCAAGTCGATCAAGCGGAGACTGGAGGAAATGCTTCTCTTTTACGACCTAAGTGGAGTATCCAAGCCGGGGAGTGAGCTAAGTGTGAGTGGGTCAGGTTCATACGGTTCCCAGATGAAACATATTACCACCTTTCAGTTATACCACTTTTATTGTGCCTGTAAAAACTTCAGTCCTTCTTTCCTGTTCGAATTTTTCAATACCATGTTGAAGCTGACTCCAAAGATGAATATTATAGACGTGGATAAGACTAGCGATTTGTTTAGTAAGAAAAAAATGAACAGAATGGAGCACCTGGAGATCTTCGAGAGGGTGAGGGACCGTAACGTAACCATCCCCTTTGTTGTGTCCTTGTTGAGATCCTTGAGGATAATTATTTCATCGAATTTGTTTCTTATGAATGACATTCTTAGTGAGCATGTGAACACCATGGTGCAGTACTCGTACTATGTGTTGTTATATTATTATTACAATAAGGATAGGATGAAGCGTCATCATGTTAAGGGTGGTAGTGATTTGCGGGATGTGGGTGATGAAGAATGGCTAGCTGGGGGGGTCAGAACTGTACCTGGTAGTAATGCTCTCTTTGGGACACAGTCTGGGGGGGAAGGAAGCTCGTGGGGAACTACCCTTGGAAACAAGGAACACGCCGATGATGAGGAGTACCCCATTTGTGAGAGCGCATCTAAGGGAGGAACTACTGGGGGAAGTGCTCCAATAGGAGGGGAGTACGTGAAGAATGAATTGGAGAGTGGCCAAGTGGAGGGCGCTCAGCGTGACGATGGTAGTGACTGTTCAATAATGTCGAGCGTAATGAAGTCCACAAAGAAGGATCGAAAAATGTGTCCCTTTGATAATGTATATATGGAGGACCTGTGCAACACTTACTTGTGCTTGTCCACATCGTTATACTTCCTAAATAGGACGGAGGAAAAGTCTAACCCAGTGAAGCATCTCATTGATCTGGAGGACAGATTCTTGAAGTTAGTAACCAAAGTGAAGTACATGAAGTACTTATCGGACAATTTAATTTTTTTTTTATTTAAAGCACCCTGCACGGTGAAATTAGAGGAAGCGTTTGATGGGATAATTCCATCGTTGAAGATACCCAACCGAAGGAGTAAAAAGACGAGCGAACTTCTCTCCTCCATAACACATTCACAGAAGGTGAAGATTTTGAGTGTCCCAGCAGCGACTGCCTTTTTGCTGTGCAAAATTAAGCTGTCCATGTGGGGGAATGGAGGTAAGGAGGAAGTGAATGCCCTTCGGATGGAGAACACGAAGATGTTGTTTGAGATCCTGATCGATGATTACAAGTTGTTGGCAAACTGCATCGAGCAGTTGTTCATTAATGGGGGTAGGGAAGTGGCCGATGGGGGGAGGGAAGCGGTTGATGGGCAGGAGTACTCATCGGACAATTCGTATATTTCCGATCAGAGTACATCCTTTGGAGGGAGACCCAGAAGGAATTTCTCCGTGGGAGACACCCATGATGGAAGCAGCCAGTATGAAATGTCCACCCGCAAAAGAAGGACGTATTCTTATTTACCCTACCTTGCGTCAAATAAGGTTGACGTGAAGCAAAATGCCCATTTCGAAGCCCTCATAGGAGATATGTTTTTCGGTGTACACGAGGTGAAGACCTTGTATGAACTCCAAAGCACGCTGCTAAAAACGGTTAAGTATTTGGAGGCTGCCCAAATCAACTTAAAGGTGAATTATAAAATAACGCAGATTCAGCAAATACATAATGACGTCCTGGGTTACCTTTCAGAGTTGTCCAACGTGGTTAAGGACTGCCTGTACATCGTCGTCCTCTCGCAGCCCTACATGCACAAGTCACCTAAAAAGTACATCACCAAAAATTTGGTCAATTACTTTATTAACAAGTGCAAATTTGTAAGCGACTATAACGTGTTTGATGAGTGCAACAGTAAATCCTTTAACGAGCTGAAGCGCAGCAAGTACTTGGCCAACGAGCTCTGCAGGTAGGTTGGCCGTTCTTCACTTTGCCATGTTACACATCGCCATGGCCCACGTTGCCTACCACATGTGCGTATTATGTGTGCCCATTTTTTCTGTTCACCTATTTATTTATCCCTTCCCCCTTTTGCGTCTCCAACTTTTTTGTCCACCCCCTTCCGTCAGTGTGCGGCACGAGTGTGTTTCACATGGCATATTTGGAGAAGGGAAATCTGCGTCAAAAAAAAAAAAAAAAATTTCCGATGCACACTGATCGACCTGACTTTTCTTCGTCACCGTCCCCATGGGAGGGAAAAAGGGGTTAGACATATATTGTGAACGAACGCTTCAGAGGGGCAAGTCGCATATGCTTCATGTGTACATTCGATTGAGGTAGAAAAACTTTTGTTCCAATAAAGAAACACCATAGCAAAGGTTTTTCTCCCCGCGTTTTCTTTATGGCAAGATACCGCTATTGGTAGGAAATGTGCCTTTTTTGGAAATGCTACTGGAAAGGGAGAGCGATGTATATTCTCTGCTTAGTAGTCCCTTTTTTTGAGTGATACAAAATAGGGAACGGCAAGATTGACGGAGCGAATGATGTGGGAGAAATAATTGCCTTTTGCGCCATCGTTGCAGAAAGGGTAAGTTAACTTTTTCTTTTTTCCCTAGTCAAATGTAGACTCCCAGTTTCACGAGAGGAATAGCAAATATGTATGCGCGATTATGGACAGGTAGAAAAAATTAAGCAAATCGAATAAGCACTTTAATTGTCCTGGGGAAGAAGGCAGCATTTAAAAGTTTGCCTACATACACACATGTGTGTGGGAAAAGTAGCTAGATTTTTTTTTTTTTTTTTTTTTTTTTTTTTTTTCGCGTTAGTGTAGATAAGAGCATAAACTGTAAAGGGCTTATGTCACTGATGGGGGAAGTGTTAGGAGGTTCCTTGTGGTATGACTTCTCATATACGCGGTCTAAGCCATTGTGGCCGAGCCTGCGTGAAGAATTGGTAAAGGTTCTTACCTGAGCGTAGACCTGCGGGCATACAAAAGCAATGCAGCAAAGGAAACGCCTGCAAGGACATATTTTATGTCTGCGCATGTGTTTGTATTATACACCCTTATGTGTAGCGAAAGATGACAACGGAGGTAGTAAGCCAGGCAGGCGCTGAGCAGGGGGGGGACGCAGAAGGGGGGGTTCAGCAGTTAGAAAAAAATGAGCAAACAATTGAGGTCACAAACAAAGCTGAAGAGATGAATGAAGATGTGCAGAAACGGTTCGAAGCTCTAAATAACACCATCGAAAATATGAACATCCATTTTAATACGATTCTAAAGGACAATGAAGAGAAATACATTTTGGCATTCAACACCTACATGTATGACGTACAGAAAGAAATACGAGTTTTAAAAAAAATTGTCAAGGAAGAAAAAATAAGGGAGCTAAAGGACGAACGGGTGAAGAAATTGCAAAAGGAACTTAAGTGGTACATAAACGAGTGTCTACGATTGGACAACGTTTCTCAGTTCTTGAAAAAGGAAGCGGAGAAGTGGAAGAGGAACAGTGAACTCATGAAGAATCATATGTTGTTTTTGGAGAAGAAGCTCGCCAAGATGTATGATAAGGTGATTCTGAAGGAAGAGACCGGGGTAGGAGCGGAAACGGGAACACACGTGAAAGAAGGGCCCTTTTACAGAAAGGAGGGAAGTGCACAAAAGAGAAATGCTGCACCAAAAAAAGCACAGAAAAGAGACCAATATGGTGGAGGCACACAACTATTTGGGGTACACAGCGAGGGCGCCAACGCCGAGTGCACACCAAAGAATAAAGCCAAGATGGAAGACAAAAACTCCAAGGAATTGCAGCACAAGGTAGCCAATTTAGAAAAGAAACTGAAGAAGCAAATAAACATAAATTGCAGTTTACAAGAAAAACTTACAAAGCATTACATTGAAAAGTCGCAGTATGAAAAACTGTTCATGGAATGTGCACAACAAATTAAAAAAGACCTAGCGAAATTAGCCATAAGCAATGACAAGGAGAAGTACGTAGAAGAAAATTTCACGTCATTAATGAATGAAGCAGAATTGAGTTACTTTACCAAGGAGGAAAAGAAAAAGTTACTCGTGTCCTTTTTCTCCTCTAACGATTTGATCCAGTTTGTGAAGAAAAACGTTTTCTGTAAGGAGAGGGCGTCCTTCGATTTGCAGACCAAAAATAGCTACCCCACTACAACCATCAAGTACCAGAAACGGTCTGACATTTCGCCCTTCATTTTGTGAGCTAAGCCTGTGTCTGCTTGGGTACCTCACTCCACAAAAGCACACACACACAGATGGATGGGCCTTACGACTGCCTAGGTACGCCCATTTAGGAAAAAGCCAGCATGTGTATGGAAGAGTATGCATATAAATGTATATGCTTCCTGGAAGTGTACGCTATTTACGAACTAGCTTTTTTGTTTTTTTTTTTTTTTTGCACTTTTTACATTCCACGTTCAGGCGATTTTTAGTTTTTTTTTTTTTTTTCTGGCATTTTTTACACACAATGTTCATACGATTTTTAATTTTTTTTTTTTTTTTCTCAATTTTATTCTGACTTTTTAACAGAATATTGTTAAAAAGAAAACGCAGTTGAAGGAAAGGCCTAAGAGTGGAAATTTGGATAAGGAACAAAATAGAACTATTCACCATATGGAGGACAATTTTTTAGGCTACATATCTACAGCGAAGGGGGAGCAAGGGGCTAGGTAATTGCCCTTTTTTTTTTTTTTTTTTTTTTTTTTCATTTTCCAGTATTTGGAAAAGCCCAAATAAAAAAATAAAATAAAATAAAAAGGGGAGTTGTGTGAATGGTATAATTGGCAGAAGGGGGCACACAACGAAAGAAAAAAAACAACCACCTGATGAGGTGCACATCCCCTTTTGTCTTTTCCTGCACACTGCTTTAAACTACCTAATGGTCACTTTCCCTGAAATGCGAAAAGAGGAAGTAAAAAAAAAAAAAAAAAATGCGACCGTACGGGAGAAAAATTCTCATATGGTGGCACACTTGAAAAAAGGGAAATTATCCGCAAGTATACACAAGAGAATGCGTAACTCCCGCGCTACCAGCGAGAACGCCCCCATTTTAAACGCCTAAAAATGTTTTTAGTGAATACGATTAAGGGAATCTTTCATTACGAAGAGGATGGAAACAATGACGCAGCAGCGGAAAAGGCAAAGAAAAACAAAAGGGTTCATATTAGTGAGCTGAAGGACGAAGTCTGGTTATACAAAAATGAGGCGAAGCCGCGCCTAAGTGAAGACTATGCCAGTGAATACGAAGATGGGAGCTTTTATGATGAAGAAGGTGGAAGAAAGCCAAAGGATCATTTTTTAGAGGTGCCGCTATTCGATGAAGATGAAAGTGGACGGAGTATCCAAAAGAATTTGGTTAAATTGCGTAAAAACTTCCTCATCGTGTTTTTGTTTTGGCATTACAACACCTCGTCCAATCCATGCACCAACAGTGTTCTTTTTATTTATTTATTTATTTTTGTCTCACTTCCCTGGCACTGTTTAACATATTTGCGCAGAGGTACCTGCCGAGCAGGAAAACAAAAGCAATAAAAAAAAGCGAAGAGTCAGAAGTTAGCGAAGAAAGTCTAAGCACCACCGACGAGGAAGAGGAGATGGAGGAGCCTTTTCTCGACCTATATGAGGAATTAAAGGTTAAGATGAGAGTCTTCTCACTTGTGGACATGTCTATGCGGCTTGTGCATCATTGGTTGTCTCTTAATCGGGTTGGACTTGTCTTGGTAGAATTGCTCGCGGCCGTGTGATCGCCATAATCGGTGATGCTCCCCTCCTATCTGCTCCCCCCCCTCAATTGTTCCCTTCCCCCGTTTACAGAGAGAACAAAGCATAAAGGAGTTCTACAACCCGATGCTGCGGCCCAGACTGTGGCGCTTCGAATTTTTTATAAAATATATACATAACCTGGAAAATCAGTTACATAGAAATTTTTACTTAGTGTCCTTCGGGAACATAAAGTAGGGCTCCAATTTTATAACAATATGATACACCTTTCTCCGCGCTACGTGCTGCGTGCATAATTGTGCTCGAGCTGACTTAACTGTTTACTCTTCGCAGGAAGTTGAAGCTCTACGGAGACCTGAAAAAGGAGGTGCTGTACACGCCTGGGTACTCCATAGAACCGGGGGAGATCAAACACTTGAAGGTTCCACGTAAGGGGAAGTGCGAAGGAGTATACGTTCATATGCACTGGTACGCGTGTGTGTGCAAGCAGCTCCCGGCATGAACATGTTGAACTGGTTCTACTTCCCCTCCCCCTCGCAGTGCCCATCTGGGCGGAAAAGGAGTTGAGCATATCCTATGAGGATTTGCAGAACTTTGAAGTGGCCATCGAAATGTGGTGCATAAAGGGGTTTACATTCAATGAGCTGTACGCATCGTCCAAGAAAACGCTAAAGGAGGTCATTGAAAACGACCCCGACACGAACGTTATCCTGAAGCGGAGGATTGAGAAAAGGAACATCACTTTTGAGACCCAACGTTTGGGGGTAATTCTCGCCTTCGGCAAGTCTTCCCTGACATTAGCCACCGCAACATATGGCATTTGGTGCCTTTACGCGTCAAAATTACCACGTTTACATTTTGCCCCTCCTGTGACGCAATGCCCCGATGCGACGTTCCCTGTACCTCCCCTTTGGGGGTGCGCTAATGGGGAAACCCTTCCGACCACGTATACACACATAAAGCATATAACTAACGCACGCACGAACTGACGAATATGCCCCCCTCCCATCTCCTCCACTTCACAGATGTACATGCAGCTGTCTGAAATTTTCGAGTTCCACATGGCCCTGGACAGTTGGTGGTTCATAGCAAATTCAGAAATGCCCAGTTATTTAAAAACCCTGCCCAAATTTTTGCGGTTCAAATTTCCCCTAAGCGAGGACGACTGGGTCATTCACAGCTCGCACAAGTCACAGAACAACTTTTGGCTGTACCCAGGATATTTCTGTTTCATTGGTACTTACCATCAGTTGGCCAACGCCTTTTTCATCCTTACGGTAAATATATGCAGTGTTGTATAAGCCCGTATTACGTATTCTTCTGCTAGTGGATGCGTGCGCGAGTGAGGAGATACCTGTTTTGCGCTGCCTGATTCCTTCTTCATTTGACCATTCCCTTGTTCTAACGTCGCCTCCCCCGCTCTTTTAAAATCACTTCAAGGTGCTGTCCCACAACACTAGCCACAGATACAAGCCACCCATCCTGCTTGGGTCCTGCATCATATCTTTAAAGTCTGTGACGGAGCACCCGTTTTTCAAGTAAGACCCAGCATGTCGCGTTTGCAAGGGGGATTATGATCGCGGTGGAGGAAGGACCGTTCAAAGGGGTCTCTCCCCTCCCTGCAATGTGCGCACTTTTGGCTTTTCTCTATGTTGGCTACTGATGGTTTTTTTTTTTTTTTTGTTTTCTGTACCCCTCCTAATCGCCAGAGGAACTGTGAAGAAGCTGACACTAGACAAGACGAAATTCAGGCAGGGGGAAATTGTGGGGAACATAAAGTGCTTTGTGAACAGCTACGGGATAGAGGAAGGGGACATTCCTGTGCAGAGGCCCGTGCAGCCGCTAAGTCACGCCACTCTGGTGAACCAGCTCCTTTTGAACCAACACTACTTGGTGATCAGGTGGGTGTGTGCGCACAAGCGTGTATGCCAAGTACGTATGCGCATGAGTGTTGTATGTATATTTATGAACCTACATGTCGTTGCTTTCCCCTTGCAGAGTAATAAAATGCGAAAATCTAGCTATCAGCAGCATCGACTTGAATAATGTGAATATAAACGTGTGGGTGAAGTGGGACGGCATAGTGAACAAGACGGATACCGTGTGGAAGAGCACTTCTCCTTTTTTTTACCAAAACCTGTATTTCCCCATTCGGCTAGTTGATAAAAAAGAGCTAACCCATGAGAGTCTCATAAGGAATGTGTTGCCAGTGGACTTGATTTCCAAAGGGGAAATATGTTTCGAGGTCCATAACAACAATGAAATACATTCTACCATTTTGGGTATTTTCGAGCTTCCCTTCGCGGACATTTTTAATTATGGCACGGAGGATTACCGGTCCCTGGCTCAGGTGCGTTTCTCGTCTATTCGTTTGTGCATGTGTGTTTTTCTGCTCCCCACACAGGCTTCTTTTCCATGTGCACTCAGCTATTGTGCCCGTTCCCTACCACCACCGCCGGGTTGCTACTTTACCCTGGTTCTGCTGCACATTTTTTTACTCACGTTACCTCCCCGCGCAGGAAACTTCCCAAAGCAGCTCCCCCTACAACGATTACAAGGACAACTACGACGCAGCGAATGAGGGGATGGGTCTTTCGAGCGACAACTATGACGACTACTACGTGAGGAAGTATAAAACTGTGGTGTATAAGAACACCTTAGGTAGGCGCGAAGGATGAGAAGAAGAGGGCGAGAGAAAAGTGTGGCCGCTCGTGAGGCAACCATTTGAAGGACAGTACAGCAATTAAAGACATATACCTTTCTTGAGAAGCCTATCCTTTGAAATATTCCTTTCCACATCGGGCTTCGTACACTTATATGTACCTTTCATGTTGATGTCGCACTGTCCACCACAGAGCTGATGTACTCCACGCTCCACTTAAAAGCGTTGAACATGGAGAGCATACAGACGAAGAAGGAGTCGACAATTTCGGTGGAGGCATTTGTTATCCCCCCATTGCCCAATGGATTGGTCTTTGTGGAAAAGGAACAAATGCAGAACTCTTCGATGATATACAAGTCTATGTCAAAGAGGTGGGCGAAGGAACGTTTCCTCCTGTCTGTTGCAGTGGCCCCCATTCGTTTAGCAGCGCACGTGAATGCACATTTTATATGATTTTTTTTTTTCCTGCTGCTGTTCAGGTGGGAACGGGACTTTTCCAAGTTCAAGGATACCTACATCCAGTGGTTCCCCCGGGCGGATAAAAATAGGAGGTACGAGAAATGGCAGATAAAAGGGGGGAGAAGTGGGTGTTTCCAGCTTGGCACGGGTCCACCCGAATGGGGGAAGCCACCACCTGCGTGCGTGTTTGCCAGCGTATGATCGTTGTATTCCTTCCCTTTTTCCTTTTTAGTTTCCCCTGTGTGAGCAGAAACGAGTTTGACAGCAACCATTATCCCCTGTGTAGCTTCGTGACTTCGATTAATTTGCCCGCCCAAGTGTCCACTCCTGGTAGGCGCGGCGTTCCGTTTAGCACGTGGGGCGGCGCTTCTAAGGGGGCACTACAGGAGGTTACACTTCCAATGTGCCACCTGCACCATGCCACTTCGACCGCATCACTGCGACCGCGTCACTGCGACCGCGTCACTTCCACCCCGTCCCTCCTCCCTGCAAGGCCCCCTGTTCCACTGGCTGAACAACATTGAGTACATCGAGAACGAAGACGAGTCGTCGATCTTCACCCCCCCGTATTTTTTTCTGTCCTACAAGAAGGGGACGATACAGGATCACGTCCTGTTACTGTGCTGCTGTCTCAAGGGCCTGGAGTACGACGCGTACGTGTGTAAAGGTATAGGAGGCGCTGCGTAGTGTGCAGTAGACACACGTGTATGTGTGCCGGCTTGCAGCAGTCTACTTCTCCACATATGGATTCACATTTTAACCTATATCTCTTTCTGTGTGTCTGCCCGTTCCGCAAGGCACAATAAACAACGGGAAGAAAAACCACTACTGGGTGATGACGAGGCACGAAGAAGGATGGGTATGCTTCTGGGAAGTGACGAACAAGTGCATTATCCACCTGAAGAAGAGATGGAACAACAACAATTCTTCAAGGGACTCAGAAGTGAGCATGCAGAAGGAAATTATGAGCAACGTGGTGGAGAATAGCGACAGGGAAAAGTATTACACTGGGGAATATTTAATGAGCTTTGTCAGATATGGGCTGGAAGAATTAAAAAAGAGGGAGACGCAAATTAAGGAAGAATACGACATGAAGGAAGAAAACAAATTGTACACTATGGACTTGTATGGAGAGAATCACATGAAGGATGAGCAAGTAGACGTACGTGAAGTTCTTTATAACGATGAGGAACTCTTCAATAATATGTTCGAAGTAAAATTTGAAAAGCATGAGACATACAGTTCTAGTAAGGCGTTAAAATATTTGTTGGAGAATTTTTCTAAAAGTATCCCCATAGCTCCAAAGATGTTTTTGCTGGACTATGATAAGACTTTAGCTTACGTGCCATACTCTTCGATCGAGGTGGTTTTTAATGACGAGCAGTTGTATGGGAACATGCAGAACCACCACCCCGCGTGCATTTTGTACGACTTGGAGAACAACTACCACTGGCGTCCCCTTTTGAATCACTCGCCCGTGCCGATCAAGAGTGAAATTACCATATCGACTCCGTTGAGCGACAGGCTTTCGTAAGGCAGAGCGAGATTAGCGGTGTTAGCGGCGTTAGCAGCATCAGCAGCGTCAGCGTCGCTGGCCTTGTGGACGACGAGTTTGTGGAGTTTTTTCCCCCCTCCTGTGGATAAGCCCACCCGGTTTGCCGTCAGCATACCTCCCTGCATGACTCGTACCACTCCATTCTTTTTAACTTCCCCCCCTTGCAGCGAGAAGTACACGAAGGACTTGGAGGAGGAGATTCAGGAGATGATACGCTTCATGAGGACCAAGGAGGGACTGGATACTTCCTTTGAGAATTCCAAGGAGATTAGACATTTCCTAGAAATGTATATTGACCTGTGTGAATATAAGCTCAACCTTGATAATAATTATAATACGAAGCCAGAAAATTATGACCGTAAAGGGGGGGATAACGCTAAGGGGGGTCAAGGAACAGCAGTTGGGCAAGGGGGGTGTGCATCCCCCCAAACAGGTATAGGATCAGTCGAGAAGGGAGGACAAAATGAAGCAGACAACACGCAATTGAGAAAAACGTGGTCTCAATACAAAAACGATTATTACCCCAACATTGAAGCACAGTACGTTAATAAAGATAATTTTAATTTTTATCAGACGTATCACCCAAGTGAACAAATTAATATGATAAACCAGGAGCAGAAGAAGCACCTCGTAAATATCCCAGGGGATTACATATACGGGATGAATGATGAGGTGTACAATAATGGCAAGGAGCAGTACATAAGGAACTACGTTTTTTGTAAGGACAATGCGGATATCCTAAGGAACTATGATGATAGTGTGAAGAGGAAGAATATAAAACGGTTCAGCAATGCACCTGTGCATTACCATGAGAGGGTGGGTCACGTGGAGGGCGAGTGCAGTGATGGTAACGATGAAGCTAGGGGGGAAAATGCTCAAGTGGGTGGAGGTAGCATCCACAAGAAAGGGGACCCATCAAGTGAACAACATGAGGACGAGGAGTTGTACAAAGAAAAGTATTATCACTACGATGAGGAAGAAGCGGAAGAGGAAGACAAAGAGAAGGACTCGGAACGGCGGCATCGCCGCTCCATTGACCGAGAAGGGGTGCCAAATAAGTATATTAAGAAGTACAACAAAAAGTATGATAGCCTGCTGAAGCTTCAGAAGAGTTTGAAGAAGAAGGAGAAACAGATGAGGGAAGAAATGATGGATGTTAAGTTGGAGGGGAAATACTGCCACAGTGGTCGATTAGGTACACAGTCCTTCTTCAGCTATGTAGACACACAAGCATTTTTGAAGCGCACCTTGGGGGAAAAAACACGTACAAAGGGGGTTAATAAGTCAGTGCATGATGAGAGGTGCGTTAAATGTGATCATCTGTTTAATGGTTACCTGATTATCCCCTCGAAGGGGGAGCATTCAGGAAACGGCACTTATGATAATTGCAAGGGTAAAGTGACACAGCGGGGTAGAAGCGGTGACAGAGTGGGTCGAGGGTACCGCCTCAAGAATCCCTGCACCAAGCGTAGAAACATCGTCCTGAGGAAGTCACACCACAGTGGGAACAAGTTACGTGAATTAGTCGCCAAGTGTAAAAAACGATATTATATAAGGAAGATGGAAAGGAACATGCTTAAGTTGAAAGTGGCTTTGTTAAAGCGTACGATTAGGGGGGAAAGAAGGAGCCACTCACAATTTGAGAGGAACCCATTCGTTATTGAGAACAAGGGGGAAGACAGAAAAAAAAGTTCCCCTTCGTTACCTGATAGAGAAGTGACGGGCGCGTTGCAAAGGGGGAGGCTTTTCCTTTGCCAGAGCTATCATCAGATGTACGCGGACCAGAAATTCCTCGACATGGGCAGCAACCCGATGGGGGGTTACCAGGTAGGGATTCCCCATATTATGGCGGTTTGAGTGCGCCTTCAGCGGAGCGTGTGAAGGCAGTCGGGGTGTACATGTCGTCTGACACATAAGCGGGGTATCCATGACACTCATGTCGTCCATCACGCCCATCACATGAGTGCCCGTTTTTTTTCTGTTTCCCCATTGGGGCAACTAACCTTGTTGTAGCAGACAATGGCACAGGAGAAGGTCGCAGATAGCTACTCAGGAAACGCGTTTGTGCAAAACTATTACGCGGATAATAACCCAAATGATATGTTACGTGGGAACAACATCCAGGGAAACTTCTATGCACATGTGCAGGGAAATAATAGAAATGAAGGACTGGGAGGTAATGTGAAGGCTCAAGCTGATGGGCAACATCTGAAGGGACCAACTGAATCAAAGGAAAAAGCCTCCACAGCGATCCCGCCAAAAACGTGGAGCAGATTAGACCCCACGTCAAAGTATGCTGCTCATCAGATTTCACAGTGGAACTGGTATTACTCATTGGTAAAATTGGAGAGCATCCCCTGGGGCACAGTTTTTCATACGCAAGGGGGGGGGGCGATGGGGAGAAGTAGCGTGCGCGTCTACCTCCAATGGGGGATCCACGTATAATTTGTGTCTCCACGTGGGTGGACTACACTAAGCATGTGATGCACAGGACGCAGGCATGCGGCACCCGTTCCTTCCTCCTTCAAACTCATGCCCGCACGACTTGCCCCCATTTTGCACCTCAGGAGGAGCAGTACTTTAACTGGCAGTACTACAAATTCCCCGTGCCGCCGAACCACACGTTTGTTGGGTTCCCGATTCATTTTTCGACCATCGGTAAGTTGCGCAGCCTTCGGGCGGTTGACCCGTTGATCGGTTGATCCGTTGATCAGTTTAGCGGGGGTTGCCGTTCATCAACCGAGGGTATTCCCAATTGACCGACCGCTTAACCACCCTCGCCGCAGATTTCTACGAAGTCAAGTCATTCTTGCTTCACTCCAAACGATTCGAGAACATAATGAAGCTGTCCATAGACAACATCTCCTTCCTCATATATTGTAAAGTGTTCCCCTTAATTGGAGGGATTATGTCGAACTGGATGTTCCTTGGCTGTTTGGTACCCTGGATGGTAACGTGCAAAAAAAAAAAAAAGGCAATTTGCATGAACGGTTCATAATTTTTTTTTTTTGGAAGAACAAAAAATGGCTGTTTAATATGCACACAAATGTGTGCCTGTACGCAGACGTATGTATATGTGTTGAGACAAAAAAAAAAATCCCCCTCTTTGCTCGTAGACTGCACAAGAGAGGGAAACTAAAATGAACAAGCCCCCGAAGAAGGACGTCAACCAGAGGTAGAAGTGGGGAAGAAAAAGGAAAAAAAAAAAAAAAAAAGTATAAAGGGAGGGAGGAACCTCCACATGGCACATATTGACGTTTCATAACACGGTTGGACGGACAAACAGAGCGGAGCGGATTCATCCCCCAAAGGGGAGGCTCCTTTTAATCGTCACCCATTGTAGCATTTACAAACTGTGACGAAGAGATGATTGTTCCGCCAATTAATGGGTTAAGTTGGCAGTGTTGCCCATAATAATATGCACGTAAACATTGAGGGAGGGAGAGAAAGAGTTTTTCCCTTTGTCACTGCGCAGAATGTCACGACATGTGTTATGTCAAGCATTACACCACTTTTTTTGTTCGAAACTGTTCATTTTCTTACCACCAGTAAGAAGTTTTGTGTAAAATTTGTACACTGTTTCCCCATGAGGGACTTCACTTGGCTACGTTTTGCAAAAAGGTTTCCTTCTCTAAAAAAAAAAGCGACACGCTGTGATTGACTTAGGGGATGGCGACTGGACGCGACTTACCGGATGGTCACTGCACACTGCTTCACCAACATTTGGATAATTTTACTTTGCAGCTCATTTACAGCCTTATGGGTAAGGTTCTGTGTGTGGGAGCGGTAAGTTATTCTATAACAGACACTCGTTTGATTGTTCTTGGGGTTGTGATAGGAATCTATTTTTTTTACTTGTTCTATATTTTCGCTAGCTACATCTCTGCAAATTTGAAAGAATAAATCTTCTTTAAATTGACTGGTGACATAAAAGGAAATGTCCTTTTCCACAGGAGGGAAATTACTGAAGGGGTGGAATGTGGTTATTAGGCCTTCCTTAAACTGATTTATGAATCTGCTGTCGTTACTCCAAAATAAACGTATGTCGTTGATGTGGTAGAGCAGCATGGCTAGTCGTTCAAGTCCGATTCCGAAGGCCCATCCTTGGTACCTAATCGTTTTTAAGAATTTGTTCATTTGATCTTCAATTCGGTTGTTGAGGGGGGCGCTGCAGAGTTTGTCCAGGATATCCTTGGGGGTAGCCAAGTTGGGCGCGATCCACTCCGCGGCGGTCTCGTTCGCGATGGCCCTAGTCACTGCCTCCTCAATCGATTGGAGCTCTCCCAGGAGGCCCCTGTCATGGCGGGCAATCTCGTCCTCTATTATTTGGCGTATATCTTCCGCGTGCAGGGCCATGGTGATGACTTCCTTTTTGATTTTCCCGCACCCTAGGACTTCCACCCAGCGGGGTTCCTCACTAGGAGACTGTCCATATAAGGTGCCTGAACCACCATCCTCGTTGCCATCTCGAGTCGTGTTGATTGCCCCTGACGATGCCCCTTCGATGTAGAGCTCGTACGACGGGTCGGTAAAGGGGAAGGACGTGTTACCATCCCATTTCATTTTTATATCAGAGGCATTGAACAAGTAGCGAATCAGCTGTTCAAGGTTTCTCTTCAAATCCTTTTCGACATCAAAATTATTAGGGCGGATCAGAAATCCATCGGTCTGATGGAAAATGGGAAAGTGAAATCTATCAATTTCGTCCCTTCTGTAGACACTTCCCGTGTATATAACATTTTTGTAATTTCGCCTTAACAGGTCAGGTAAATGCGCGGTCATATGTGTCCTTTTCAGCAGGACCTTGTTATGGGGCACGAATTTCGTGGCTAAGTAGTATTTATAAATTCCATTGGTATTCTCTAGGGGAGTGTACAGATCATTATGTAGAGTAGAAAAATGTTTTACGTAATTTTCACTTAAGTAAAAAGTATCTCTTATGTTCCTAGCGGGGTGTGTGAGCGGCACGAAGAGCTCATCAAAGTTTTGCTTCACACTGATGTCACTGTTGAGGTTATCGAAGGCTTCGTATTTGAAGAAATCTTCTATCTTTTTTTTTACTGTCCTTATTGGGTGGTTTGCAACATGGTATAACACTCTCCCTTCATTGGACTGAATGAGTTTGGGCAGTGGCAGCACCATTGTGCGTGGGAGGTTGCTTTCAGTGTGTTTGCCCTTGTTACAACATGGTGTATTGGTAGGCCCACGCGAGGAGAGGGAAACAAAAAAAAAAAAAAAAAAAAAAAAAGGACCCTGCACAGGGTTACTTATGGAAGAAGCTCACCTGGAATACCAATACACATAAACCAGGGTTGCATTATCTGCGGTTTTTTCCTCAAATGGGGATCGTGAGGGGGGACGCAAATATTGTTGAAAGTTGGGTTTCTTGTTCACCGGTTCACTCCGCTCCCGCAGAGCAATTCGACACTGCGCGAGGTGGCATAGCATATGGGGGTAGTGTGTATATCTATATGTTCCTATATGTGCTTATGGTGTGCCTATTTTAACGCTGCACAGAGCGGGCGCGTCGAACCGTTACGGGCGCTCTCGAGGTAGGAAGTAGATGCACCGACCGCAGTGGGAAATTCACATTTTCAAAAAAAAAAAAAAAAAAAAAAAAAAAGTGTATCAGGGTGACGCAACAGTGGGAAGAAAGTAGGACACACCTACATGGCTGACTGGGAACGATTTATTCCTTTGTTCATATGCGACACCTGCATGTGTACCGCGCGGTATCCACGCACAGGTGACGTGAGAACTTTTTGTGAAGCGGAAGTACGTGTGGAAGTGTGCGTGTAAAAGCCCCTGTTAATGCCTTTGTGTATAGCCACAGCTGTGTGCTACACACATGAGTACACACATCGCCACGTTTGGTGTGAAAACCTGAAGGGGGGGTGGCAAATTCTTACTTTTTCCGCACCACCCCCTTTTCTACGCGTATGCCGCGTTTTGATTTAAAGAACGGATTACGGCGCGATGACTTTTCGCCAAGCCGAGTCGATGTGACGAAAGAGGTACCAATGTACATTCGCATGTTAGGACGTTAGTATGTTCGTGTGTACGTATCCTCTTACGCTTGTATGCATTTATGTATGTATGCCTCTGCGGGTGTTTGACCCATTCCGGGCCACGCGCTTAGAGGAGAAAAGCCTACCTGCAGGATGCCCGTGGGTTTATGCCAAGCAGCTCGTTCACTCTACACCCATTGAGATGCTCCTAACCATATACCGACTACCCCCCCTTCGAAGGTACACTCCCCCGCCGTTGCATACTCAGGTACACCACACCTGGTGTTCTGGCGCTAAAGCACCGGTGGCTGTGGGAAGATAATATTCTTGCCTACGCTTGTCTATGTATCGGCTTCGAAAAAAATAGGAGCCTTTGTCCTTTTATGGGTACAAACGGGTTGGTAGTTCTATGTCTTTAAGAAAAAAAAAAAATAACAAAAATAAAGGAAGCCCCAAAAAAAATTCAAAAAAGTTCCACAATTTCACAAATTCCACAAATTCGAAAAAATGCAAAAAATTTCGAAACACCTCCCCTTTTTTTTAATACATATAAAAGTGGCTGCACTTAAATCTTTTTTTTTTTTTTTTGTGTAATTTAGTTGTCAAAACATTTTCTTTCATTTTTGTTTATTTTAATTTTTGCATTTTTTGTGCAATTTTTTGGCTGTGGAGGGGTCCCCATATTTTTTTTCTTCACATTTCTGAACTTGCCTTTTTTTTTCGTCGAAGCAATTTTTTGGGGCAACCTCCAACAAAAAAAAAAAAAAAAAAAAAAAAAAAAAAAAAAAGCCAAATTAGGTAGGAAAGTGACCCATAATTAAGAAAATAAGAAATAATGAAAAGGATTTATTTAAGAAGAAAAAAAAATTAAAAAACATAAAAAAAAAAAACCCCAAAAAAATGAAAAAAAAAAAAAAGTAAAGAGGGTAAAAAAAAAAAAATAACACGCTCCTTCGTATGCTGAGAAGATACATTTTATTTATTTATTATTTATTTTTTTTTTTTTTGTTACCCTTTTTATAATATTTAAATGCGAAAGAAGAATTTTATTTAAGTATGTGCGGGCATAACCTACGCATATATATATGTATATAGTTATTTGCTTGCAGGCTCTCTATCTTCTGTACGCGCAACGCTTACGTTTATGATTTGCCTGTGGAGTTGCACATATACTTGTATGTGTTTGCTTTGTTGGTGGGGGAGAGGGGATACGGGATGCTCTTTGCTTATCCTTCGTAACCCTCACCAAGATTGTAGCTGTTGGAAGGATTTTCTCCAACAGAAGAGAGTAGAGAATAGAGTCTACATAGGAGAGTTTATGCGTATGCACTTGAGAAAGTGTAACTGTTATAAAGTGTAAATGGAAAGACAAACCCTGGAGTAGCTCTAAACCCTGCATACCGTTTTATGAGCACAGTTTTGTCCTGTTTGTTTTTATCACCCCCCGCACACATACACATACACACACACACACACACGCGCGAAGGTGTAGAAGTGCGTGTTACATTATTTGGTGGTAGGGAGTGTAGCGGTGGTCTACATAGGCCTACATAAAGGGGGAAAAAAAAGAAGCCAAAAACAAGTAAGCTTTTTTTTTTTTTTGCAGGGCAGTGAGCCGTACGCTATATCTTCGTTAGGGTAAGGGCGTCGGTGGTACCTGGGGCACATTTTTGTCCGTAGCATCGTTGCTTCCTCCCCTCCCCGCCACCACTTCTCCGCTTCATCGTGTCAGCGCCATGGAGAGAGTGGAGTTTTACAAAAAGTACCAGGAGTACTACCAAAATGACATTAACCAAATTCCGCCGCTAATTGAGGGCATGGGGATCGAGCTGTACGATCTGTACTTGAGCGTGCTGAGCCATGGGGGCTACTCATGTGTCAGTAGGAATTCTAAGTGGGTGAAAATAGCAAGGGAGTTTGGGCTCATCAACAAAGAGAAGAATATAAAGCTTATAGAAGACATAAAATGTATAAAGGAGTATTACCTGACCTATTTGCGAGAGTTCGAAAGGATCCATGACAATATAAAAAAAGGAAAGTCATCCCCAAAGAAGGGTCGGACAGGAAAAACTCCCACCAGTTTTGACCTCAGGTATAATAAAAAAATATCTATTAGTAAATCAAATAATAAGAAGGTAAAGACAGAAACATTTATGCACAATTTGCGGCGCCCAGGACAGGTAGCTGGTGCAAACATGCCTGGGGGGATGGTACATCAAGGGGTCATTAACAGTGTGGGTCATACAATGGGAAATGTGAAAGGTTCGTACAAAGCTTTACACACATATGGTAGTAACGGCAACGTAAATGGTACGTATATGGATGTGTATAATATGAACAGCCCCCCAAGTAAGATGTGGAAAGATAATTTTTACGAAAAGGGAAATGCCTACTGTTTGGAGGATTACCTTGATGGAAGTGCAAGCTGGTATGGTGGAGACAGGATGCGGGCACAAATGTTTATGAACAATAGTCCAGTTGAAAAGAGCAAAACTAGAGGCAGCCACAAGAAGGGGCTCAGTAAGAAACGCAGCTTTAAGACTGAAGGGGATTTCGCCGAGTCGGATATGCGTCCCATGCATGTGGGAGATTTTAACGTTGCCAATTATGGGGCGTATGGAAATTATGGAAATGGGGGTGGAGGCTTCCCCAATTATCAGGTAAATTCTTTTCATGACATGAATGGGGGTGCAGGAGGATATTACTACTACGGTGGGGAGTTGCCTTATGGCGTGGCGGCACCCTGTGAAGGGAATAGTTACATGGATCCGACCTCAATCAACAGGGCAAAGTACCTGTATAACAATCAAATGGTCAGTTTAGGTGAGCTTGGTGGTGGAGTTAACACAAGTGCAAATATGGGGAATTATTTTTTTAATTATGGAGGAGTCGGTTTTGTTGGGGCCCCCCACACCCTTGACAATTCACTGGACGGTTACAATTATATGAATGGATCCCCCCGCGGAGGTGTGGTTTCGAGCGGTGTCGTTTCGAGCGGTGTGGGAGGTTATGTAGGTAATGGGTCTAATGGAGGTGTGCACCAGGGGATGAACTACGGAATGAATTACGGCATGAACTATGGCTACAATTTTGTAAATAATTACGCTAATAATTATGGAGTGAATTATGGGTACAATTATGGAGGCGACTACTACTACCCGGGTTACTACTCCCCGTATGAGGGAAATGCTAAGTGGAATCCTTTTATAGGAAATGCAAATGAGAAATTGATGATGGCAGTGGGTGGTCCTACGAACCTTTTCTCGTTGGATGGTTACGGAGGGTCGTCACTGCCATACGGCCTTCCGTTAAGAAATGACATGAGCAGCGACGCGAAGAACTGCATTGACATATACAGGATTTTACTAGGACTAAACAAAAGGAAGGAGAAGGTGGCTGACTTTATATTCTGTTTGAACGTTTTGTATACCGTGTCGGTGATGAATGATATGTCCCTGTCGAGGACGCAAATTAAAATAATCATATGTATGCTTTTGCAAGTGCTAGACGAGATGCTTCTCTTTTTTTACTCCAAGTTGAGCATGAAAGAGAGGGCATTAGATATAATGATTAAAAGTTTTGCAGATTATGTGTCAGATAAGAGTGGTTGGAAAAGTGGGAAGGGACATATAACACTGGGGGGGGATGATTACAATGGCGTCGTGGCTACTGGGGAGGGTAAGTACCTCATGGGGTGCGCTGTGTGTTCAACACGTGATGGAGACAATTTGGACTCTAAGGGGGAGAATGTTGTGGAGGGATCTCCTCAAAAGGGGAGGACGAGGAGCGCCATCATGGGGACACTACTAAGTGATAAAGTAAATCTTGGCGAGATAGCGAGTTTGTATTTGTCCTACAGTGTATACTGTCGTGATAAGAGGCGGAAAATCAGGCATGCAGGCATGTCGCTGGGGGAGGCGAATGATGTGGCGGAGAATAGCGCAGGGGACAGTAACGCGGAGGATGATTCCGTCGGGGAGGGAACCAGCACACCAGATGACGGGAGCGATTGGGAGGAGGAGCCCCCCTGGAGCTCCAACCCCCCCAGCAGCGTCAGCAGCTCGGACATAGAAAATATAATTATGGGGGGAAGAACCACCAGGGGTGGAAATGAATCTACACAAAGCTTATATAAAGATAAAGAGGAGTGCAAACAATCCATGATGCAAAAAAGCAACCAAGAGTTTGTCTTTCTCATTTTGTATATAATAAATAATCTGTTTCAAACGAGAAAATATAACCTCTACTTTTGTGACAGAAAAAGTGATGAAGTTAGGGATGGCTCTTTAGGGGAAGAGAGAGACACGATGGACACATCCGGGGGTGGTACCGTTGACAAAATGGGTAATGGGCACATTAAGGATAATGTTAAGATGGGGGGAAAGGTCGTTGGGGGAATTTCCACCTGTGATGATATGCCTGAGGAGAGTAAAATGAACGAACTGTGTAAGGACAGCCAAGGGAGTGATAAGATAAATGTGGGTGATAATGGTGTAGGTGAAGAGAGTGGGAAGGATGATGAAGGGGATCGTTGGAAAGGGGAAGGTCATCTCTTGTCCAGTAGAACTTGCGAGAAGGATTTTTGGTCAGACGACTGGTCCGATTCCTCCTCAGGATGTTGTAGTATGTGCAGTTACAAAAAAGGGGTCGTTAAAAAGGAGGAGGTTGCTCCAAGTAGGGGCATAACTAGGGGGTATGCTAAAATTTTGAATGATAAAAAAAAAATGATGGAAAATGGAGGCGAACTTATCGGGGAAGACGCTCTCGTGGGTGTGAAGGTTCAGGGGGGTGAAGAAGAGACCATGGGCAAAGTGTGTAACAATGGGGAAGCGGCACGTGGGGTTGGTTGGACGGACCAGGTAGGCAATGCGGCGTTTCAAAAAGGGGACGGAAAGTGGCCAAGCGAGGAGGCCAAGTGGTTAAACGAAGAGACCAACGTATGTGATAATCGTAAGAGTAGCCGCATGAGCAGCGCCTGCAGTTATTCTCTTTCCCCCAGTAGCGAAATGTTTCCCATTTGTGAGGAAGGGTCTTCTGTACAGACTGCCAATTGTTCCATGCCGCATAGTGAGGTACCCTTCATGGCTGACGATAGGACAGCTCATTTAGGAAATGGACTGAACGGAGATGTGGACAAGGCACATGACATGAGTTGCATGAGAGAGGAGAAGCTTCACCCAGAAGGGGGTAACTTGGGCGATAGTAATTGCCCCATTAATGGATCGAACGGAGTGACAAATGTAAGTACAGGGGTGAAAAGCCGCTTGGGGAGGCCAAATAAAGAAACGGTTTCCGGACATGACATGAAGGTGAAGGAAGAAGGGGGTATTGCAAATAGGCTTGTACATGACAGAACGGATGACGCAAGCCTTCACAAGGACAACGATGGGGCTACCCCTAATGGCGGCAGCGGTATGGGGATGCAGATGCACCATTTAAGTGACAATCGGAGAGGAGACAACTACGGTAGAGGGGGGAATGAAAAGTATGGTGACGACGCACTGTCTCATGTAATTAATAAAAATGGGGGTAAGGGATCTTCCCCTCAGCATATGAACAAGAGCAATTACGGGGGGTATGGTGATCCTGGTATGGTTGAAAATGTAACGCAGAGTGTAGGTGATGCCGCTTTGGTGGGAAGCACGTATAACACTACTACTCACGTGAACCCACTGGGAGGTGGTAACGTAGATGGAGATCAATTCCAGAGGACATATAACGGTCAGGGGTGTGGGATCCCGCTTGACGGTAGTCCCTTTGGAGGAAACCCTTATGGTCAGAATTTCCCCGCAAATTACCATGGGGGGATTTCTAAACATAACGGCGGCGTGATAAATGGCCTTTATGCGCCGAACGAAGATGGTGGAAGAAGGCATGGCTTGACTAGGGAGGACACCCAAGTGAAGAAGCAAGGGGACGTAACAAGGACCGGTGATGCAATCAAGAAGGAAAATAATATGGTGGGAAATGTTGAATGTGGACAGCAAAATGGGAAAATGAATGAGGAGAAAATTTGCAAAAAATGTGGCACAACACGCATACAGACCAAGGGGCAACATAAGGAGCAAAATAATAAAGAGGAAATGAAAAGAATTTTTAAAAATATGAAAAAGGAGGTATATGAAGAAATGAAAAAAATATTTAAAGAAAAAAAAATAAAACAGAACAAACTGTTACACTATTTTGACATGAGTAAATTGCTAAGTGTCTTTGAATTAATTTTTTTAAAAAATTTCGAAAATATTATTTTCCATGAAAAGGCAATACAAAATATTTATATGAACATGTTCATATGTGTAGACATATTAAATAACGAATTGGGAAGAAGCATTTCCCTCAAGTATATATTTTTTCCTTCCGAGTTTTTGAAGCGCACAAGTAAGTTTAAAATTACTGCCCATTGGGATAAGAAGAATAAGCTGTTCATTCAGTCGGAGGATCAGAGGGCTGCGTGCAGAGAAGTCTCTGAGGCGGGGGATACGCCCCAGAGGGATACTCAGAAGGGGGGCAAAAGTGAAGGCGAGAATGTTGGGGGGGAAGACATTCTACAAAATGGATCTGAGGAAAAAACAGCGACTGAGAAAGTGGAAAGAGAAGAGGACCCCCCCGCGGTGATGAAGGGAGAAGGAGAGACAGAAGAACTGAGCGGAATGGAATACAGGAAAAAAATAAAAAAATTGTTTTTAAAAATTTTTAGAAGAAACAATAAAAAATATAACATTTATAAAAAAATTGATTACAAATTTTTAATGAGAAAGTACAAGTACAATGGTCCACTGAATTGTCAAGAGAAGGAAAAGTTTAAAAAATTCATCATCCTTGATTTGCACGAAATTACGAAAAAAATTCTTTTAAAAGTGTATAAGCGGGTCAATACTCACCTCAACATTGCCATTTTGTCCTTAAACATATTAACGCACATTTTGTATTTAATTCCGAAGAGGATGTTGCATGTCTCGTTTATTTTTTGGGTTTTAAATGAAACAATAAATGTGAAATGTGCATATACTTATTTAAGTGTTCCTTTGTGTATTTTGAATTACAATGGATTTCTCTTCCTCGAAACGATGATGAAGCTCATCATTCGTATGATTGAAAATGATGTTATGCCGTTGCACCCTTATATGTTATCCTTCCTTCGCTTGTGTTCCTTCCCATTGTATATTTATTTGTACTTTGATATTCCCGTGTCGCACACACTTATTATTACTGCCCTGTCTGCGTTGTACTTGCTGGTTACTTACGACCCTGACTTTTTAGCCACAGGGTTTGTTAGTGCGAAGGCCGGCGGGGCGCGTTCCTCTACGGGAAACTGCGTCAGGGTTGGGGATGACGTGGAGCACGGAGAGGAGAAGGGCACTGGCCTTGACCACGTTTGTAAGAAGAGAAGACTTTGGGATATTCCTACCTCGGGGAAAAACAGCGACGAGGTGAAGAGCGAAGTGAAGTGCCAAGTGAAGCATGAAGTCAAAAAGGAAGGTACGCCGGAAGAGACTCAGGAAACTACCCACGAAGAACTGACAGAGGAGAGGAAGGAACTGCTTGAAAAAATCTTTATTAAAACCATGTTGCTCTTCTTGAAGAAGTCCATTTACTTTAAAAGCATTTTCAACTGCGCGAATATAAACGAGAAGGAAGAAATGCTCGTGGACAGCAGGAGGGTGCAAGTCATTTTAAAGAATTGGAGGATGCATAGCGAAGAAATGGAAAAGGAGAAGGACGATTTGTATTGTTCGAACATTGAAAATAAGGTTTTCTATTTACACGACAATTTGCTTTTATACGCTTTGGACAATTTACCCATTTCCAGTCCTGCCAAGGATATGAAGATGTGTGAAAATATAAAGAACCAATTTATTAATCAGTACTGCACCACAGTTTCCTTCTCGTATGACTTTGTCATGTCTGAGAGTACGGAATTGCAGAGACTTAGCATTTACGCACATTCTATAGTGCCCATTTTTTTGTTCCTATCTTCTCACCGTATCTTATGGCAATGTTTGTCACCCCATATCCCGATGCTGACGCAGGTAAGGCAAACTGAAGGGTAACTCTACCCCTGTGCATACGTTTGGACGGCAGACCAGAAATGCTGGCCCATATCAGTATTAACTAATAATCCATTTCGTGTACCTTTTTGGGGAACCCGCAACTGAGGCGTGTCGCATGTGTGTGTTACCCATCCGTCGAAAAACGGTTTAATCATTTTTTTTTTTTTTTTTCCCGAGCAGATGGCGTTCATCCAGACGGACATTAGTCGTTCCCTGTGGGTTATACTGAAGGAGTACTATTTTAGAAGCTTCATGCGGGAGAAACGTAGTGGGAAAAAGCTCGACTCATGTTTTGACTCCCGATTGGTCAAGATTGAGAAGGTGAATAGGAATGTAGCAGGATGAGTCGAATTGACGTCAGTTTCTACCTCCTTGTGGTTTGCACTCTTTCTTGTGTTTTTTTTTTTTTTTTTTTTTTTTTTGTTTTTGTGGATTTGTACTAAGAAAGAGGGGAGCCCCAACTCGTCTTACGCTGTCAAGGAGGCACACGCTCCCGGCGGGCTAAAAGCACATAGCTGGTTATTTGTCCGCATGTCTGCCAACGTTTGGAGTGCACATATTCACTGGCCAATTTATCGTCCTATTTATCCGTACGCGAATCTACGAATTCATTTTTCCTCCCAAACATACTCCACATGCACGTCCGACAATTTGCTACATTGCGCGAACTTTGCTACATAGAAGGCAAAGCGTGCGTGTGCATTTTTTATTTCAATGAATTAACCTTCGCTAAGCTTGATGGCTGAAGCAATGACCAGCTGCCAATTGGTATACCAGGTGTGCACCCGCGAAAGTCGTTTTTTTGAAAACGCTCCAAAAGGAACAGTGCAGTAACAACGTTATGCCACGTCTGCTCGGCCGTCACACCAGTGAGACTTAAAAAAATATATATCCACCCGCATGTATAGTTGCATTGGTTAATAAGTGACAGTGCGAAAGGGAGGTAGTTTTAAGAAGGGGCTTGGGGAGATACCAAAATGTGTCTATTCTACGTACGTATCTCCTGCAGCATGTTAATTAACAAAAACAATAAAAAATAAACAATAAACAATAAAATGAGGAATGAACAAAAAATGCATAGCGTGTGAACATCAAAAGTGCAAATTAAAAGAGGTCATTTTTTTTAAAAGGTAAAAATGGCTGTTTAAACATGTGCCGTTTTTTTTTTTTTTTTTTTTTTCCAAAGGTGAAAATGGCTAGCTATTTCGTCCATTTTGCCTGAACGGGCAAGGCATTTTCATTCCATTTCGCGCAATTACATTCCGTTTAATCTGTTAATTCTGTTTTTTGTAAAACTTTACGATGTGTCAAACCAGAAAACAACCCCGACGATGAGGTACGCCGTGATGAGGAGGACGCCCTCAAGCCAGTTGCTCTCACCGTCTTGCACAATTGCCATGGTGACAATGACAGAAATTACTAAAATGACACTGGATAGGGGCGAAAAGGCAAGGGTCATGGGTTTATTTAAAATCCAACCAAAAAGTACCGTAACTGGGACAACGAAAAGAGCAATCTGTGCAGAGGATCCAACAGCTACCCCCATGGTTAAGTCGACTTTGTTTTTCATAGCCACTGTAACGGCTGTTAAATGTTCCGTGGCGTTCCCAACTACGGGCAAAAGAATAACTCCAATAAAATTTTCAGATATGTTATAATACTTAACAACTGCTTCGATGGTGGTAATAAGATATTCCGAGTGCATGCTTACAAGGACAGTTACTATGATTAACAAAAGGGATCCTGCGAGGACGGACAGTTGTGGTACTTCTTCTGTCATTTCTTTGTCTTGAAATAGTGATATATGTGTGTAAAGTTGAAACAGCAGAAATAAGCAGTAGGTTAAAAAAATCAAAACTGCAGTTATTCTGGATACTTTTAAAAGTACTTCAACATTATTGTTTGTGGTAACTGATGAGACGGTGGGAATTGTTATGGCCAGACTGGAGAGGAGTAACAAGGAAGTACTACACGTTGCTCCCTTTTCATTAAATTTTTGTACATGATGGTATAGGCCTCCCGCGAAAAAAGACATACCAAGGACTAGCAACAAATTGGACAATATACTTCCTAGGAGTGTCCCCTGTACTACATTTATCAACCCAGCGTTTAAGGCTTGAATGGAAAATATCATTTCCATCAAATTGCCAAATGTAGCATTTAGCAATCCACCAATTATTTCTCCTGTGTGCAAAGCCAAGTCTTCTGTTACATGCCCCATGAGCGCTGACAGGGGTATTAAGGCCATGAAGTTAAAAAAGAAAATGTATATGTCTTTACACCCTATGAGGTAACTTATAATTCCTATTGGCACAAAAATTAATAATATGTTTAACTTAGTTTGGAGCATATGGTATATCCCTTTGATGTCACTTTTTCTAAAAGAATAATATGCCTCTATATCTCTGTAGCCAAAATTATTCTCGAGATCATCGTCAAGTCCTCCATTAGGCGTTTTGTTGTTACATAAAAGTTGCTTGTGCAAATTTTTGTTTCTTATTAAATTTGTATCGTTTAGGCCCGTTGTGCTTTTGGAGCTTTTGATCGGTGCCACATTTTTGTTCAGCGGCTGGGAAATTGTACGTCTTACGTAAGACGTAGCGCGAACTCTGCCCATAACCATCTTGGCTCTCGTGTAGGTAAAGCGGTGACAAAAAAAAAAAAAGTGGCCTACCGGTGTATAGCTGCCCAGAGGAAAGGTGTAAGGAGATAATATCTCTGGGGATGGTCGGGGCGACTAGAGGGGGTTTGCGGCAAATCACTAAGAAAAAAAAAAAGATATACACGAGCCGATTACACAAGATTTGGTAAGCAGCAATGACAAAAGAGGGATTCGCGGCGAAACGGCTACAACGCTGCAGCGTTGCGGTGATAGAGAGAGGCGGTGGGGTGGGAAGTTGGTAGCTTGAATATGCAATATGTGTTTGTATGGTAAGAGGAGATAGAAAATCAAAACTTAAAAAAAAAAAAAAAAAACAACTTTTTTAATTGTGAAAAGAGTAGGGTTTGGCCTTATCTTTCCATTTCTGTAGCGTCGGTGAAATAAAACGTGTTTTTGTTTGTTGGGTTTGCGGGGGTACACTGCCCAGGTGGGAGGTGAGTGGTGCCTTGTGAGAACTAAAGCCCTGAGAACCTCGAACTTGAACAATAGGTAATATTGTAGCCAAGGAGGAGTGATATATTACCCGGGTGCATAATTATGGTGGTACACATAAGTGAAGCTCCGCGTAAGGTTTACGCATGTATTGGGGAGTGGGGCAAAAAGGGCTAACCGGAAGTTATCTCTTTGGGCGGATAAGTTGGTCGGATGGGTAAAATCCGTGCACGCCAAATGAGGGCATAGGGAACGAAAAGGGGAAAAAAAAAAAATATATGTATTAACAAAATATACATTTATATAAAACAATAAATCACTAAATGGCACAAAGCAGATGGTTCATGAAAATGGGGTTGAGGGAGATCCCTAGTTATTGTCCACGTGGTCAACAGAGGTAACCTGCGCGGAATTGCTCTTTGAGCCAAGCTTCACCTACATTGCCTTGTTTTTTTTTTTTTTTTTTTTTTTTTTGTAGTGATACAGGGAGGCGACTCACCAGGGGGGGTGCATACGATACGTATGCTCATAACCTTCTTGTAAGTGTGTATATATTAATGTTGCATTGCACGTAAGTACGAATTGCGTTTGGGCATATTTTCCCCCATGCGTGATTACCCAATTGGGTGCTGCGTTGTCAGAAGTAACGCAGGAATGGCTCTTACGACGGTACCTTAGCGGGGGTCACCTATGCTAGGCTGGACCGGGTGTGCAGAAAAATTAGGTAGCATAAATTGGCACAACGAATTTGCTTTGAATTGTGAACTTGGTTTGTTCTTACTTATTTATTTATTTTTTCTTTTGGAGGAATCGTACGGAACAATCCTGTTCCACTATGTTACATTTCAGGGCTGTGTTAACCCTGCGAAGTGTTTAGCTTTATGGGGGTGCAGTCAGCCAGTTGGGCTGATTGAGGACGTTTGTGTGTGTAGCAAACAATCGCTTGAGTATCGCACGCTTTTGAAGGCAGAGAAAACATATGAGTGTTGTCCCCCCCTAACAACAGCACATGTAAAGTTCAGTTTAAGCAATATAATTTTGCTTTCCCAAGTGAGGGCCCCTTTTGCGCATTTTGTATGTTCCTCTCAGTTTCAATTTTACGCACCTGTTTGTTCTGTAAAGCATATGAAGTGTTACCAGTTTGTCCGGAGGGGTAAACCCGAATGCACGTCACACGGGGGAATACCACGAATGGTGTGTGAGGGGATTAATAATTGGCGGCGCATATGATTTGGTAAGAAAGGGAGTATATAATTTTAAAACAAGGAGAATGCAGAATTGTCTTGGAGGTGTTAAGCGAAAATGGCTTTCCCTAGCAGAACTGCAATTTGTAAAATATTCGTTCCACTTGTGCGAGGAAGCTTTTTCACTCCTTCCCTTGTATCGCGTATGACATTCGATGAAGGAGAGATGTAAATCACGCTGTCGCTTGCTCGCGAAACAATGGGGTTTGGATGGAGGGGTGAACGAGCGAACTTTTTGCTCATCCCCAATTCGCATGTCTTGCAAAGGATGCATGCACTTGCGTATAATATATTCATCAGGGCAAGCTTTTTCGGAAGTGAACTCAGTGAGGATGCATTTGTGGTGTGGACGGGAAGAGGACAATACACATAAATGAAATGTGTGGCGGCGTTCCTCTAAATAGTGCTGCCTATGTTATTGTGATCACATTTGCGTACAGCGCGTTATATATACATTTAGAGGTGCCCTTCTGTTCAGCGTGAGATGGTTCAACGGGCATCAAAACCACACCCGTGGAGGATCCCTCCCCACGGAAAAATATACGACGCTATTTTTTAATTTGTTCATTTCCATTCAGTATAGCTCGAATTAAAAAAAAAAAAAAAAAAAAGGACAGTCGCTCTCTCCAAAGGGGGAAACCTATTTTCCCACGTTGGCTTAACATACGTCGTTGATGCTGCGCCGTGGGTATTTTAAAATGGGAAATTTTAAAGGGGAAAAAAAAAACAGGCGTTTCTTCTTCACCACGTTGTAAAATGCATCGCACTTTTAGGGCATTTGCTGTTTTTTTTTTTTTTTCTTTTTTTGCGCCATTTCCCTTTGCAAGAATATATAAAAAAAAATTGCCAATTTGGCATTTGAGGGCGACACCGCTGAAGGAATGTAGTGGGGTTGAAACCATATTTCCCCTTTTTTCTGGGTGCGCATAACAGTTTTTTTTTTTTTTTTTTTTTTTTTTTTAAAAAAGGGCGAAATTGCAAGGCGCTTGGACCTGCAAAGCAACGCGCCGAACAGATACCCCACCACCCCCAATTGACCCTTTTTTGTGGTTAAGTGGCAGCGCAGAATCGCCCACTTGAAAATCCGCACTCTCTATTATTTAATTTTCCATGAGAGCGATGAAAATCGCCCGCATGGTGATTATATATATATGTATCACGACGGCTATATGCATATGTATTTGTACTTTATTTGGCAAAACGCCTAGTGCCCTTGGCGCAACCTTTGGTGCGCTTCATACTGCAATGAGGCATGAGGGGTGAGTCGCGGAGAGGCCATTTGTTTTAAACTGCTTGTATGAAGAAGCCCCTGGGCAATGCCGCGCATGAGGGGAAGCCACAGTCGTGTGAAGGTCGCATCAGAAGCGACAGTTAGAAGGCTACGTATGCATAATTTATGAACATAATATATTATATATATATATATATATATATATATATATATATAACCGCATTTATTTCCACATGTGCGTGAGCACGCACGTACGTTTTATGCATGGGATAGTATTATGAGCATACGTTAACGCACCTGCATGGGTGGCAGGTAGAAAACGTAAACGAATATATGCATCCTCATTGGGTTGCGTCAAAGTTGTAGTCTATCCCACACAAAAAGGGGAACACAGTACCCTTAAGTGCGAAGTAAAAAGAGAAGCAGTCACGGAAGGGTTAACACTGTACCCCATCTGTCCAATTAATACCCCCCCCTCAAAAAAAAAAAAAAATAAAAGAAATGAACAGCAAGAAAAGGAACAGGAGTGGAAAAAGCGAATGTATGACTTTGCCACTTGAGAAAACTGAACTGCTTATTGAAAACCTACACAACCTGAAAAACGCAATAGCTCTTTACAGAAAGGAAATTCAACAGAAAAACAAATGCATTAGTGATGTGAAGGCGGACTTGACTTTTTATGAATGCTTGCTCAGGAATGTTAATGTGGTGTGGAATATTTTCAACCACGATTTGTTGAGATTGGTAGGGGAGGAGGAAGCGGCCAGTGGTGATGAAGGAGACTCCCGCTGTGATGGGGGAGGGCCCCACCCTCCTCAAGAAGAACCCACATGGCATTGCAAAAAGGCAGCCTCCCCCTACTACGATGTAGAACAGTTTAAAAGAATTTTTTTAAAATACACACGTAAGCATAATAAAGACAGCGACGAAGAGGAGGACTCTGACTTTTTCAAGTCCCCCTCGGAGGATGACTCTTGTGGGGAGGAATGTCACAATGGCGGTGCGCTACAGGAAGAACCCTTCCCAGGCGACTTGAAAGGAAGCCAAAAGGACAACGAAGCCATGTGTCCAGGGGATAAGAAGGATCGGTGCAAGAAAGAACCGAATGATTTATCATCGCCCTCCAAGGGTACAAAGGGAAATATTATGCAAGACAGTAACATGGGGAGTGGTAAGAAGGAACAACTCAGACATACATTTCATAGCAACATGAAGGATTACGTGAAGGAGGAAGACGTGTGCAATGATGAGGAGGAGGGGAATAAGTTGAATGTAAGTTCGAAGGAGGAAATAAAGTTGGAGGGTTCATTGAAAAGGGGGATGGTGGAGCGGTTGAGTGGTGTGCAAGGAGTTCGCCAAACGGACCGCTCCCCCGCTACCCGAGTGAAGATAAAGAGGGAGCAAGGCGAGTCAACCGAAGAAGGAGACGAGGAACATATACCCAGCGGAAGCCCACTGGATCATAAACTACAAAGAATATTTTTAACGAACATGAAGAAAACGATTCATGTGCTAAACAGAGTGTTAGAGTCGCCAAAAAAGGTGGGTCTAAATTATAACAAGGAATACGTTACAAAAATAAATTATGAAAAAAAAATTTACTATGAAAAGTTTATAAGTGAGAAAAAAAAAAGGGAAGAAGTGGAGAATAAATGTGATGAGCTGAGGATAGAGTTGGACCGATTGGAAAAGAAGAAGACGTCACTCCTTTTTAAGTTGAACAATGAGAGTATCTGTAATACCATTTTGGAGGACGATGAAGAGGAGGAGCAGAAGAAGCGGCAGCAGGAGGAGAAGGACGCGATGAAGAACTCGGCGCAGGATATAGATAGTGTGGGGTGCAGCAAAGGGGAGGACACGGTGCAACGTCAGGACAGTGGGATGGCATGCGTGAAGTGCGGCTTCGTGAATTACGCCAGTGGGAAGGCAGGAGAAGGTGCCGTGAAAGGTGCAAAGGGGGAAGAGCATGGCATGGCGAGTGGGTCGGGAAGTGGTGGATGCGTCTCGGGCGAGGACCCCGCTGCGGTGTGGCTACTGAACTTTGAACAAGTCATAACGAAGGAAAAGATTCTTCAGAGCGAACCGTTCAGACAACTCATAAAGGAGTCCACTGAAGTTTACAAACAGTTGAAGGAGAGGGAAGGTGAAATAGTGTTGTTAAAAAATGAACTTTTAAAAAGGGAGCACATTCGTGATGAGGAATATGAGCATTTACTTAATGACACCATGAATGATAAAAAGTGCTTGTCTAATAAAATAAAAAATTTGCAAGTTGATATTGTGACGTGTAGTATGGAAAAGGAGAAGATTCAAAAGAGGATGGATCTTATGGAGCATGAAATTAAAGCACTGAAAGGGATAGAAGCGAACCAAGTGATGCAGCTGGAGCAGAAGGAGAAAGAACTTTGTAGAATGAGAGTTTCAGTGGACAAATTAAAGGCATCTGAGAGTATTTTAAGGGATAAAATTTTGTCTTTGGAGGGTGGAGGAGGAGTTGTAGGGGAGGTCACATCCCTACTGAATGGGGGATGCGACGATTTGGTAGGCGAGGGAGGTGAAGATTTACAGAGCCAATTGCTTGCGGAGAATAAAAAATTGAAACTTGCTTTGGAAAAAAAAAAAAATACAGAAAATGAATTGGCCATATTGAAAAAAAATTACAATGCCATGAGTGAAGAAATTGAAGAGATAACAAAAGAATTTGAAAAGAAGCAAGAGCAAGTGGATGAAATGATTATTCAAATAAAAAATAAAGAATTGGAGTCGCTGGAAAAATATAACAATGTAATGAACAAAACGTATGTTGAAGAGAACATCAAAAGGTTGGAAGAAACATATGAGGAGAAAATTTCTTCTATAAATAAATTATATGAAAAATATGAAAAATTTGCAGAGTTATATTTGTCCTTATTTTATTATGCAAGGAAAGGTGCTGTAATATCGGACAGCGCACATGAAGAACAAATGAGTTTATTTATTAAAATGAAAGATAAATGTGAGTCCATATTCCAGAGGAAGAATGAACTTGCGGCGATTTTGAAAACTGTGTATGGTTCGAATAGGAAGCTAGTAGACAAATGCAATGCCTTGTATAAAGAAAATCAACATTTGGACAAAATCGCTACGTCTAGTAAAGGAAGAAGGGATGCAAAAGATGCTTCCTTCAGAAGAGAGGCGAAGGAGGGAGAGGGAGAAGGAGGCGAGGAGAAAGAGTTGGAGGACAGCCAGTTACTAATTGAAGAAAATAATGAACTACGCAGAAGGCTAATATGCAGTGTGTGCATGGAGAATTTCAAAAATCATATGATTATTAAATGTGGGCATATATATTGTGAGAGTTGCATTTTTAATAATTTGAAAACGAGGAACAGGAAATGCCCCCAGTGCAAAATACCATTTGATAAGAAGGATCTGCAGAAAATTTTCCTCGACTGACGGTGGTCCCTTTTCCTTATTTTGCGCACATATATATGTGTGCATATGTGGAGTATACACCAAAGAGTGCGTTTTTTTTAAAGTATTTGTCTATTTATTCCCCCATTTTTTTTTTTTTTTTTTTTTTTTTTTTTTTTTTTTTTTTTTTTTTTTTTTTTAAAAAAAAAAAAAAAAGGGGGGGGGGGGGGATGCTGTTGTTATATGTGTATATGTGTGGGGGGAAGGATTAGAGGTGGCTTTCCATCCAGCTTCTTCCCCATTTTCGTGTTGACGTTTGGCTTTACGAGGGACTGTGGCATGCATCCTTTTGTGTAGCTTTACCTTTTTTGGCCTACCCCCCGCACCTCTTCCTTTTCATTTACGCGCCAATAGGTGATGAATGGTCTGCGACCGTGAACTTCATTTGTGCAAACCGATATGCCACTTGGCGCGCGCTTTAAAAAGGTGCGTTTCTTCATTGAAGAGTAGGGCAATGCAAAGCTGCCACACACTACCAGAAAAAAAAAAAATGCTTGGGTGACATCCGTTACCACTTCAGGTGATGGCGCGGTTTTATCTGTCCAGTCGTGGCGTCGGGGCAAATGCGTCTTTTCTCCCTCTGGAGTTGAGCGAAGATGAGGCAGATAAGCACGAGTGCCACTGACCCGTTTGAGCTTCCCGCCCGGGAACCTAATGGATCCCCCCCCGAGCGCATCACTGCTGCGCACAATGGCACATGAGTAGAAAAGCGTATGGCATGTGTGCATAAAGTGTACATATCTTTTTAAAAAATGATTCCTTGTTGGGGTTCCACACGATTGTGCAAGTATGAAGCTCAGTGGATGGGGGATACTTCGCGTAGTAGGCGATAAGTGGGTTCACTTAATAAAACGCAGAGTCCACTCTGGAGGCAGCTTCAACCACGCTAGGGTAGCCTCTTCACATTGTGTTAGTCCACTTGGGAGGCTTCTCCCACACAAAAATACTTTCCCATTTTATCCCCTTCAAAAAAAAAAGAACAAAATTGTTACCGTTGTAAGCTTTTTGTTAGTGTATGTTGGTTAAGTAGCATTTTTTTTTTTTTTTTTTTTTTCCTGGTGCAAGATCCATTTTTTTTGGCGCATTAGATTCTTTTTTGAAGCAATATTTCGTTGGTCATTTTGTGAGCGGCTGGGCAGACTCGCAGTTACGCAACGGAAGGTGATGCCGATGCACGTGCAGGACACCCAAAAGATGCTTTATACAAGCGTCGCAAGAGGATCATTTTGCCTTGGGCATAATGGAGCACGTGGCAAAAGCACGCATCACAGGGAGAGTTTGTGAGGGAGTTTTTTTTTTTCCGGACGAGTCAATTTCGTTTGGTTAAAAAAAGAAGAAAAAAAATTAACCACGGAGAAGCAAAGCTTTATAACACGTCCCCCCTTGTACAAAATATTTTTCTTCACCATGTTTGGACATAGCTGCCTGCGCGAGAAGAGGTACCTAATGGGTGGAAGCCTGTTGGGGGGTATCAGAGGCCAGGTGCGCGTTGGAGGTGCAAGCAGTTTGGGAAGTTGCCCCCGGATAAACAAGAATGATACAAAATGGTATGCATCCTTTGTGGAGCATGTTATGGGTGGAGGAAGGTGTAGACCTGTGAGAAGTGAATTCGTGAGGAGGCATAACTTGATGGCACCTGTTCGAAGGATGAGTGGTGAGTCGAATTACGCTAAAGGGGGGAGACCACCCCCAGGTGGAGGAGACCAAGGAAAGGATGACCCAGACATGAAGGGAAGTAGCAAGAGTGAAAAAAAAAAACAATTGGAAGAAGAAATGAAAAAATTACATGAACAAATAGCAAAGGAAAAAGGGCACCATAAAAAAGTGTTAGTCTTCATTTTTACATGTGTAGTAGGTTTATATATGTACTTCGAATCGTATGACCCTGAATTTTTTTTGTACGACATATTTTTGAAAATTCTTTTAAAGTATGTTGATGGGGAGATGTGTCATGACCTTTTTCTGCTCATGGGAAAATACAATTTGTTACCGTATGACACAAGTAAGGATAGCATATATTCGTGTCAATCGATTAAAGGATTGAACTTTATGAATCCTATTGGAGTTGCAGCAGGATTCGATAAGAACGGGGTGTGTATCGACAGCATTCTTAAGTTGGGTTTTTCTTTTATTGAAGTTGGAACCGTGACTCCTAAGCCTCAAAAGGGAAATGAGAAACCAAGGATCTTCAGAGATGTGGAGACAAAAAGCATTATAAATGCATGTGGGTTTAATAACATTGGTTGTGATGAGGTGAGTAAGAATTTGAAGCGCTTTCGGGAGAAGCAGAGGACAGACAAGCTGCTTCAACAACATATCGTGGGGGTTAGTCTGGGTAAGAATAAAGATTCGCCTGATATTCTGGAGGACCTTAGTTATTGCATCGCGCGCGTTGGAAGGTACGCCGATTATATAGCGATCAATGTGAGTTCGCCGAACACTCCTGGCCTGCGCGACAACCAGCAATCGGAGCGTCTCCAGGGGATTATTCTTCGTGTGAAGGAGGAGATAGGTAAGTTGGGCGGGGCGCAAGACGTTGCGGATGAGCAGCCTTGGGTCAATACGACCAAGCAAAGACCCCTCATTTTTGTGAAGCTCGCCCCAGATTTGGACGAAGGAGAAAAGAAAAAAATTGCTAACGTGTTACTCAAAACGGAAGTCGATGGGATGATTATATGCAATACAACCACGCAAAAATTTAACATAAAAAATTTCCAAGACAAAAAAGGAGGAGTCAGTGGAGCAAAACTCAAAGACATATCCACAAATATGATTTCACAGATGTATAATTATACGAATAGGAGGATCCCCATCATTGCATCTGGGGGTATATTTTCTGGGAGGGACGTGTTGGAAAAAATTGAGGCCGGGGCTTCGGTATGCCAGCTGTACTCTGGTTTGGTGTTTAATGGGATGAAGGCGGCCGTTCGGGTTAAGCGTGAGTTGGACCACTTGCTTTATCAGCGGGGGTACTACAAGTTGGAGGACGCCATCGGCAAGGCCCACCGGCGGGGCGCGTGATACATTACCGCGTCATCGCGTGATGGCGTGATGGCGTGATGGCGTAATCGCGTGAGCGCATGTCTTTATTTTTTTCGTGTGGGTGGCCTTTCGGAGGGTAGCCCCGTCACGCTCAGCAAATACATGTGTCCGCCATTCGTGCAGCGGCAGTTCGTTTGCACTTCGTTCTTGTTTGTCGCATATGTGGCCACCCCCCTCAGTGGACCATCTTTCCGTTAACACTGTTTCTTTTTTAAGAGGTAACTTATGTGTCCACGTCTAATTGCAAAACGGTGGAGAAGCTCCTCCTCCCCCCCTTAACACGTGTTCCATTTAGGTGCGAATTGGAAACAAGGGGGGAAGCGCAAAGTGCCGCGGTTAGTACACACTCGTATTAGAACGGAGAGGCATTCGACAAATGAACTTGAGCCGCGGGACAAGGTGATCTCATCCCTGCTGGTTCTCCCCCTTGTGTGCGTAGGTCTGCACCCAGTGCCTGGCATTTTGAATGGTCTTATGAGGGTCGTGTTTTGCAAACAGAAAGAAGGATTGTATTTCAGCCATGCTGAGGTGGAAGCGCTCAAATATGGTTGCGAATTCCTGGGCCAGATCTTCATGATTAGGAAAAAAGCGTAAGAACATTTTTTTGTACTGATAACTGTTTGCATATGGTATAAATATTTTTAGGTCTACCCTACCTGGTCTAATCAGGGTACTTGGAAGCCTCTCTATATTGTTCGTGGTCATGAAAATGATCCTTTCTTCCGTGGCGACGATACCATCCAGGGCGTTTAGAAGTCCACTGTACGAGACACCTAATGTTTTTATGTTACCAGTGCCAAGTAAGGAATTGGAAATGGTTGAAGCTGTGGAGGAGGAGTCGACTTTTGCATTTGCTTCACTAGGAGTACAAAAGACAAAATCAATATCTTCCAGAATGAGAATGGTCTTTGGAGGTACGGTGGCAAGGAGGTGGATAAATCTGTCGTCGGTTAAGTACACGTCATTAACATTAATGGTGCAGATATTAAAGTCAAAGTGGCCAGCGAGAGCAGCAATAAGACTGCTTTTTCCACAGCCAGGGGGTCCATGGAGTAGGTAACACCTCCTATAAGGTATCCCTTTTTCAATATACCATTTACTCGAATTGAGAAAGGTATCGAGGTCATTAATTATATGTTCACTGAGGTGCTCTGGAAGGATCACAGAGTCTACAGGTCTTTTATTCTTTGGAGTTCCAAAGGGTCTCCATTCATGGCCAAACGTTTTATACAGTAAAGTTTTTCCCTCTTCTTTTTTTTCTATATATATTTTTGCATCTGTTAATATTTTTGAAAAAATATTTTTGGACCATATGAATGTACTGAGTTTTATATTCTCGAATGGGACTGATCTGTTGACATCTGAAGTCATAGTCTTTTCCCTACTGCGTTCAATAAATATAAATTTATTATCATATATGAGTAGGTGATTTCCTATGCTGGGTAGGAAGGAGAAGGATACCGTTTTTTTATTTTTGTCACTTTGCATGTGTGTTTTTAAGCTGTGGTGTCTACTAATTATACCTTTTTTTACAATGTATTCTAGAACCCAATAATATGCATTATCATTGATTGTAATTTCTAATGACGTGAACATATTTTTTTTCACTGCATGGTAGAGGTAGCTGTTTAGTCTGTTTGCTACAGTGACGAATGCTCCTACTGAGATGATTCCGACGCCTGCACTGAAGTATTCATTTTTTGTTATGTTTTTAAAAATGGATTCTATGAACCCGTTTCCGTTTTCTGTGTTTCCGCTGTTTACTATACTGGGCTGCTCCGCGCTGTTGTCGAACCCCTTGTTCACTATAAGCTTCTGCATCTGTGCGAGATGGTGGGGATTACATAAAAAAGGAAGGAAACGGGGGGGGGTGGGGATCCTTTATGAGGGGAGATATGTTCTCCCTCTGGTTGGGTTCATTAGCCGAACTGCCAAGTGTGCTACTCTGTTCACATGTGCATTTTTACAGATGCCTATTTTTTGTGGTTTCTTTTTTTTTTTTTTTTTTGGCTTGTTGACTTGGTTGCCGCTCTGATTGGTAGGCAGCACACCCAATTTGTGGTAGCCTCCGCTGTGTGTTTTTTTTTTTTTTTTTTTTTTTTCCAACGCAAGTGCCGCGGCAACGTCGAGTTGGGCGACCTCGCATCTGTATAATTGTGCACGTGTTTTTTTCACCATTTTTTTTTTACAATTTTTTAAGTTATGCCTGGCCTGGCATGGCATCTAATTCTATCTCATCTAATCACATCTAATTTCACGGTGTCGCGTCGCCCCTGCTTAATGGAAGCCACCTCTTATTTGCCTCATCCCATGGGCGACAAAGGATTGGTAGTGCGGGTAGGGATAATTGCCTCCATTTTAGCAAAATATTATTTCCCACATGGTTCCCTTTTACACGCGTCAGAAAGATATAATGGTTCATGTAGAGTTCATTTTGTAGAATGCTGTTTTCCGTAGAAGGGGTCGCAGCGATGAGTGTGGTGGTAGGACTTTTTCTGCGGTTCGTCTTTATACCAATTTTATCTTTTTTTTTTCCCCCATTTGGTGGGGTCCTCAAATATATGTAAAATATGGACACACCTGTGGGTTGTGACTTTCCACTAGTGCACATGCGTGTGTAACGTGTGATGAATGCGACAGGGCGTAGGATGGACCTGGCTCCAAGAACAGAATTGAGGCGAGGCCGCGGCTTTCTTTTTCATATGGCTACATCATCGCGTGATGCGAAGCGGAATGGGGATGAGCGCATTCCTCTTTTTTCATCGCCTTGGTGGGAAGAAACAACCCATCGACGTGAGCCTCAATTGTGAGTGCCCCCTTTGTGGTAAGACACATGTGAAGGTGTGCGTTGTGTGAGCCGTGGCTCTGGAGGATTGAAACTACTATGCGACTTGTCGCACTGTTAAAAGGAAGAGAGAAAAAAAAAAACACACCAAACGAATCGTTTACAAGTAAACACCTCTTAGCAGTTATGAAGGAGCGGAGACGGTGTAATGCGGAATATGAAGCTTCTACGCTTTTTTTTTTTTTTTTTTTTTTAAAAGGGGGATATTGGGGGAGAATATCAATCTTTTGTATGAACATGTTAAGCGACAATTTCTCTGTGTGTTCATGTCGCTTTCATTTTGCATTACACCAGCACAAGTGAACCCTTTTTTTTTTTTTGTATGCGTGTGGACTACCAGTTACACGGGGAAAACAAAAAAATACATATCTCTTCATACGTATCATTATGAAGGAATGTTACCAAAGATTAATTCGTTGAAGCGTTTTCAAATGATTAAAACGGGGACGAAAAAAAAAAAAA